CCAATAAAAGCAGCCTCTGTACAGCGGCCCACAAAACACAGATAATCAAATTTGGCCGCGCTCTTTTAAGGGGATGAGTCTGCGGTGCCCGTGAAAACTCTTTGCTGGTATACCCGTGACACGGAAATACTTTAGAAATGCATTAGAACAACACTTAAATACTTTGGAAATGACTTAGAAGAACACTAAATATTTTTGGAAATGCATTAGAAAAAAAACTTAAAATACCTTGGAAATGCATTATAAAAACACTTGAATACTTTGGAAATGCATTAGAACAACACTTGAATACTTTAGAAATGCATTAGAAAAACACTTGAATACTTTGGAAATGCATTAGAAAAACACTTAAATACTTTGGAAATGCATTAGAAAAAAAAACTTAAAATACCTTGGAAATGCATTATAAAAACACTTGAATACTTTGGAAATGCATTAGAACAACACTTAAATACTTTGAAAATGACTTAAATGTTTTAAAAACGCATTAGAAAAACACTAAATATTTTTGAAATGCATTAGAAGAACACTTAAATACTACTATAGAAATGCATTACAAAAACACTTAAATACTTTGGAAATGCATTAGAAAACACTTGAATACTCTGGAAATGTAGTAAAAAAACACTTAAATACTTTGGAAATGTATTAGAAAAACACTTAAATACTTTGGAAATGCATTAGAAAAACACTCAAATACTTTGGGAATGTATTAGAAAAACACTTAATTACTTTGGGAATGCATTAGAAAAACACTTGAATACCCTGGAAATGCACTTGAAAAACATTAAATAGTTTGGAAATGCATCAGAAAAACACTTAAATACTCTGGAAATGCAATAGAAAAACACTTAAATACCTTGGAAATTCATTATAAAAACACTTAAATACTTTAGAAATGCATTAGAAAAACACTTGAATGCCATGGAAATGCATTATAAAAACACTTAAATACTTTAGAAAATTCATTAGAAAAACACTTGAATGCCTTGGAAATGCATTAAAAAAACACTTGAATACTTTGGAAATCAGAAAAACACTTAAATAACCTTGAAAATGCATTAAAAAAACACTTGAATACTTTGGAAATGCATTAGATCAACACTGAAGTACTTTGTAAATGCATTTAAAAACACTTAGGACTTTCAATAGTGTATTTGAGAACCACGTAAAAACTTTCAAATGAGTTTATGAGAATCATTTAAACACTTTCATTAGTGTATTCGTGAACACTCGAATACTTTCACGAAAGAGTATTACCACTTATACATATATATAATTTTAAAAGTGACTTAAACTCATACATTGACCACCTACTTAAACACGTGAAGTGACCACAACTACATTTAAAAACGTATCAAAGGGTGACTTAAATGTTTTATAAAATGTTTTATGAAACCACTTGAATAATTTTTTAATTGTATTTCAGGACCACTTAAATAGTTTTTTAAATGCATTAGAGGACATCTTGAAATCTTCTAAAAATGTATTGGAAACCACTTAACTGCTTCAGAAATGTATCTTATGACCCATTTAATTAATGATTTAAAATTTAGTAGAAGACCACTTAAATTCTTTTAAAATGTGATAAATTTCGCATGAAAACTTTCATATAAATGAAAAAAAAGATTCAAAAACTTTTATAAATACATTAGCGAACCGCTTATATGCTTCAAAATGTGTCAGAGAACCCCGCAAATAAATTGGGAAAAAGATTTGTGGATCATTTAAATAATTTTAAAATCCAATTTTCACAAATAAATTTTTGTGTTGGTCGTAACACTCGCTTTCGACCAAATATTGACTTAGGTTGCATTAAATTCAACTCGAAATCAACAAATAAAAATAATAACAATAACAGCGGTTTCAGCGTTTAGTAGGCCGTAGGCCTAGCACCGGTTGATAACATCGCAGAATATTCACAGCTTGTTGCGGTCTCGAACTCGCAACTCACTGTTACAATTCTGCTGTGCTTAACCGCCCGGCCTCCTCGCCGATTCTGACCAGAAACTGACGCACAGAGCTTGGATCGAACCAGCACCTCTTTGCTCCAATCTTGGTACTCTGAACTGTAACCACTGGGCTGCAATGTTTAGCGGAATCTGTTACACGACGAAATTCTTGAGATTTTAACGTACAGCTTTCTTTAACACCGGCACGTTTGCATTAACCGCAAAAAAATGTTCACCATGAAAGGCCATTGGTAGAATAAAAAAGAATTAATAATGGACATTTTTATATATTTCATTTAGTGCTTACAATTTCCGATAAACCACTTATGTAAAATCGAAGAAAATTCAATAAAAAATCAGGTTAATTCATTTGTATATCATTTGTTTTTTTTTTAACGGCCTCCCACACTAACCATTACAACAAAAAAAAGGAATTGATTTTATTAATTAAAAACAGGGAATGGTTTCATGTCAATCATCATCAGTATTGTATATCATCAGTTCAAAATTCAATGACACCAATGTAAAACCGGTGTAATATCGCTCTCTTATCTAAAGATTTTAGTAAAAGTGTATTTAATGACTATGGAATCACAGCATATTTTTCTGTGAAAGCTTCGCTTGAAATGAGTTTTTGTTATTCTTTTCATCTTGAAATCTTGAAATTGTTCAAAGGTCTCTTTTCGCGTTTCTTCGCCAGCCTTGTGATATTTTAATCTAAAATGTAAAAATTAATTTTGTCTACAGTCTTCTTACACATGTATTCTTGAATTCGAGTTAATTATGAGACTGCTAATAGATGAATGCCTAATTTTTTTGCGTTGTATTTGCTTTTGGATTCTCAGGACGATGTGATGATGAAACTTCGGCGATTAAATTATTTTATCTTAAATTGAATAAGCAATTATTACTAGACTTTACTTGTCGGCCTCACAAAGTTTAGAATCGCACACGTGGCAAGACATTAAACATCACTAAATACATTTCTTTTACCAAAACTGTTAGAATATATCCGAATATTCTCTCTGAATCTTATAGGCCATAACCAAGCGACTCTTGTTGAAGCCCTCGTCTGTGTTGAGAGGAGCCTTAGAAGTGTCATTACTAGCGAAGAACGAGACGCATAAGAGCTCCATTCAAAACAGATCCTCTTCGCTCATATTACATGAAGGAAACTCGTGCATTTCGGGTTTGTTTACAAGCTGCATTCATAACTCGGCGCTAATGTTCGACTGCCCTCGAGCGCCCAACTTAATATAAATATTCTTCTTGGTCCGGGGGCTGACGACTCTGTGACCTGAACGCAATGTTGGTCGAGACCAGACGACTAATAATGTTGGTGATGACAAATAAACTAATAACACTCCAGGCGCCATACTTTCAAAACTCGCTAAGTGAACGTAAGTACTTACGCTCTATTTTCTTGTCTATGATTGGTGGATTTTGCTTGAAAGGCTGTCAATGATTGGCTGATGAACTTACGATATCTTTTTTTATAAGTATAGGCCCATGCAAATGCTATAATAACTGTGAATATGAGCTAATTTCTTTAAAATAACGCACAATCAACGTTATTTCAATGTCAGATCTCTAATGGGAAGACAGTCGACTCAAAGGCTTTGTGGTTACTTGCCTTGAAATATTGGAATTCAGGAAGAGAACACACATGACGATATATAGACTTTCATTTGATGACCATAAACTTTCCTTAATTTGTCTTACTTTGGCCAAAATTACTGCGATATACTAGTATTAAACATTTTTCATAATTATTTTAAAAACTACTTTTCTTATTCCGTTTGCGTAAAGCAAACAATAAATCATAAGTCAATTTTTAAAATTCAGATTTTATACCTTGTCTTGCAATGAAGGTTGCAATTGAGTCTCGGCTTCCATTTCCAATGTCTCTCATTTTTATAAATATTCATCTTTATAAAATACAACGTATCTCCAAACGTTGTTACAAGTTTGGTTTCAAAATACCCTGAAGACTTGTTACTGAACTCTGAACGAGATAAGTCCCTTGAAGAGTTCAAAGACTGCTGCCTGACTTGCTCTTGGAATTCTACGGCCAGAAGAGTTCATGCTACGGAATTGTTATAGGCTGTATTCGGGGCACGTAAAGTGCACCGTTTGCTTCTAAAAGGAGCTGAACGATGAGGCTCAAGCTGCAATTGCGTATAGCCTGCAAACATTGAATCTGCGGAACTACATTCACCGACAAAAAGAGGTTTTAGGTCGTGTTTCTATTTGGCAAGTTGGTGAGCGAGAGAAATTAATTAATTTGTGGCTTCAATTTTTTTATTCTGAACTTCGAGATCTGCAATTTTGAGCCGCGTGCAAGTACTTGGATTTTTGGCCTGAGAGGAGCTAACATCGAGAAGAGTTCTACAGCAACAAATGTTTCTGAATGGCTTGTTTCTGGAAGGGGGCCTTGAATGAAAGTGATTTACGTTCATTGAAATTGTTAGCAGGAAACGGTTTTAATCCGTAGTATGAATCTCAAATGTAAGCTTAGACAAAATAATTCAGAAGTATGATATTCTGGCAAATGATCTTTTAACTAGTTGTATACAATGAGGACTGGAATATTTTTATGTTTTTACTATCACTCGTGTTGTTATTTTACTTGCTAATTTAATATGAACATGGATTCAAATTGTTTGAAAAATGGACGTAACATGTCAAAAATGACAGACCTCTTGAACTTCCGACGAGGTGAAGTTTTTGTTGCTTTTATGGCAGGCACTATCTACCGTAACTTCGCGTTTCAAGAGGTAGCGTCTCAAAAGTCATGACTGTCCTTGAAAGCGGAAGAAAAACTCCGCTTTCAGATGAGCGCAAATCTAACGAATCAGAGTCATAAGACAGAGTTTTATGCCACAAACCGCTGTACTATGAGTCAAGTTATACAGATGACCGCAAGCCGGGTTCCTAGCAATCACTACCGAACTCAATGAACACCTCCATAATTTTGCTCCCAGAAAGAACCATTCGCATGAAACAGTTCGAATCGCAACTCACGAGAGTCTCCAGTACAAAAAAAAAAAACTCTGCACTGATGAGATACAAATTTTTAATAATTAATGTTGGTGCAAAAACTTTCTGAAATTTACCTGACAACGTGAAAAGCGTGATTTTCTCAAACCAATATTTGTAAGCAGTACTCATGCTTACGATTTCCTGCTGAGTAAACGATTATAGACGGCAACAGGCACGTTACAATCCAAACTGATTTCTTGTGTCGTCTCTGGAAGAACTGGAGGTCGCTCTTGCTAGATAATGGGCTAAACGCTCTTCAGTAATCATTTGTATTCATCAGAACATTAGAAAGTTCTGCAAGTAACTGTCTCAAAAAGTGTACCAGCATAATTTTTATACATTATTTGTTTATTTTACTTAATTTTTTCACAATATTCTTTTCCTATTAATTGTTATACAGAAGATACTGTTTACCTTTACATACGGACGCTCAACAAAATGCAGAATAGATTCAAGACAGCAATTCGGCACGTTTGCTAATACAACTCAGGAGGGTGACTGAAAGGCTGACAAATATTGACCGCTGCTCTATTATATTGCATTACAGCGCATAAAGACGTTCAACAACTCATCACTTAACTAGGCTGCATTGCAGCGCATCACGGCCTTTAACAACTCACCAGTTAACTATGCTGCATTACAGATCGCCAAGTCGTTCAAAAACTCACCGCTTAACTATGCTGCATTGCAGCGCATCACGACCTTTAACAACTAACCACTTAACTATGCCGCATTACAGATCACCAAGTCGTTCAACAACTTATCACTTAATTAAACTGCATCCCAGAGCATCGCTTGCCCATCAAATAAGATATCGCAGCATCAGCGCCGGCAGCACGAGCGCCACGAGTTTAGGCAAGGCATTGCAGGCGGCTCCGTTGCAGAGTTCTTTGTAGCAAACCTCAACGAAGAGATAGCTTCGTTTTTCTGGATCTACGATGGCATCAGCTGCAACGTCACCTTCTTCCAGGAAATTAGCAGCGATCGCCAGCAGTTCTTCGTTTTTCATGCCCCTTCGCTCATCTTTGTACATTATCACATCTCTAAAGGTGAACGGTCGGCCATTATTATGATCTGCAAAGTCAGCCAAATAGAGGTTCATTATACACCAAAACGGTCAACACTAGGTTTGAATTACAACTTTCTTAATGCACAAGAGTTTTGGTCTTTTAACCAAAGATCGAAATTTAGACAGCTCCTTCTATAGAGACGAATATTTGGTGATGTGCTTGCTAGAGTCGAATAATGCAGTGGAGAAATGCTTCTAAAAATATAATAGTTGTAGTAGATTAGATCATTAGAATCTAATAACTCAATTTTAATAGACGTAATAGAATTGAATAAACTTGTGGTGATAGACTTACTAGGATCGATTTATCATACAGCGACATACATACCAGAATCGAATAATCCAATGATGCGATACTCAGTTGAATTTAGTACCATCGTGATATCCTTACACAAAAAAAATCAAAATTTAATGGTGAATTAATAACTTGAATAAAACCATCCATTGGTGATGAACTCACTAAACTCATATAATGCAAAGGTGATATACACTTACTAGAATCGTATACTCCAATAGTGAGGCATGCAAGAACCATGGACGGGTCATCCGTGGAGTTAGTGTGATGTTCGACGCCTTCTTTTTTGAAGGCGTCGAGGTCACAGTTCTTGTTGTTGACTGTTGAGTTTTCTGGACGGTCCTCAAGAAAGCCGGCGCAGCGGTAACACGTCAGCGAACTTACTGAAATAAGAACTTAGGAGTAATCTTATACGAGGATTCCAATTAGCCCACTGAAATAAGAACTTAGGAGTAATTTTATACGAGGATTCCAATTAGCCTACTGAAATGAAAACTTAGGAGTAATCTTATACGAGGATTCCAATCAACTTACTGATGTAGGAACATGATAATAAATGTATTAAAGCTACCAATAGAACGTTCCCTTGCAGCACCTAGGTTATTAGTGAAACTGCATGAGCACTTGACTTCAAATTATTTTTTGATGTGTCCTGGTTACGTAATCTCAAAATTTCTTGCCATATTGAATTTGACAGGTTCTTAAGCGTCATTGGAATCAATCTAGGAATATAATGCACGATCAGAGGGTCCAGATATCTTTTCTCATATGTACTAACTAAAAAACCGTCTTATTTGTGCATAGGAAATAGTCATGTGAAGCTAATTCCTATATATTTGTGCATAGGAAATAGTCATGTGAAGCTAATTCCTATATGTGCACACTCACATTCTGCAGAGATCTGCACCGCAAGGGTCAGAATTCCTACGCACACTAAAAATGTTGACCCTTTCATCCTGCGTTACGTAGAAATTCTGCGAGAAAGTCCTGAAATAAATCGAGGAAAATAAGTTCATTACAACTTTCAATTAAATTATTGGAGACGACTACTGCATCAGTTATATCCAATTAGGGACACAAGACTTTTTTTAGCATCGTTATAATAACAATAGCTGGTGTATTAATTTCTTGATATAAATCTATAATAAATATTTGATTGTAAAATGGAGACACATGATATTTTTAGTGGAAAATTTATATTTTGAACTGAATACTTATTGGCAAGTCAAGTTGTTGAGTAGATCAAGACGACCCCGATCAGATCATTGAATAATATCCTAGAATCATCATTGCAGGTAAAGTCGAGCACGAATTATGTAAAAAAAATGTTAAGACAGAAGATGGCCAACAAACCGACTAGACTTTGAAACCACCTGTCTAGCAACATTGGCAAGACGGTTGCTAGCCAGCGACTGTATGACTGTTCGACTCTTGATCTATATGCTATCTTGACGGCCTTATAATCCTGGTGTTGGCCAGATGATATGAAATCGACGGAATGTGATACTGCGAGGGATGAGTTCTACAGCGAACTGCGTATGCTCTTGAACAATGGTTGTAAACAGGACTGAAATAGAAGCAAGCCTTGTCGACACTCTCCCCACACGCTTTCAGCAAACATAGCAATTAAAAGCTGAACTTTTTGTACAATTTTTTACGTTTTAGAATCGTCATTAACATGTAATTCCTTCTCATGGACAACCGAATATTTTTAAAATTTAACAATTTACAATTCGCTTCGAGTATCTGGTATTAACCATGTATAATAAAAGAAACAACTTTGAGTTATTCCAATCATTTGAAAATTTGCATCAATATATGAAAATTATATCGAAATATGAGTCATATGATAGTTATATCAATAAATGCTGATAGGATGTGAATAATATTCAAAAGTTATTGTCAAGTTGATTATTTTGCTCAATCTTCATTGAACCGTTACTAACGAACGTATTCTCCTAATCAATGATGCAGGATTGAGCTTATCGAATGTTGCGCACATTATTGTCAATAACTATTTCAAGTTCTTAAAGCTTTTAACTTCAATACATTTTTTTTTTGTTCGATACAGAATATCTGGCAGGTCCTCCGCTATATATCTGGCATATTGTGCCAACGTGGAATCACGTGTCGATATCATTAAGGCTTGCAGGGGGCGTACACCATTGTCAGAAATTATCTCATTGTTCTGACGTTTGCATGATGCGCATTGGCCCTCTCAGCACTGGGCTTATAACGCTCGTAATGAGTACATGAAAATTCCCTGAATCATTCGCTTCAGTACGAGCGGCGCTACGCGGGGATTTGGTAAGCAGGTTCGTTGTCGGGAAGCTGGAAATGCGAAAAGGCGCTTGTGTCCAATTTGTTTTTCGACTGACTCGAAGCAGCAATTTGCATAAGCTTTTCAACTAATGAAAGCTTGTTGAGGACGGAAAATATCGCCCGTATGGCATTATGGTACGCTGATTTTTTTAATTGAAAAAATTAAAATTGAAATAAAATAAAACTTCACTAACTGCTATATGCCATCCAGGCGCATTTTTCCATTCTTACCAGATTTTCATTAGCTGAAGAGCTTATGCAAATTGTTACATCTCTGCTCGTGAAAATGTCTGCACTATTGCAAGACAGTCCTCTCATAGGTTTTTCATAGACATGGGTTATCCACAAATTTTATTAATCATTTCATGCATGCTTTTGAAGAAAAACGATTTTAAATATTGTTTATGTATGCCACTACGGGGAAATGTTTGTGATTCGCCTCAACGTTTCTGTTATTATGTTTTCCAGCTCACATCTTGGTTAGGATAAAAGATAACGAAGCTGAAATTTACAGCAGAAATGTTGCGACCCGTCAGTTTATCTGCAGTGCTCGTCATCCTCGCAATCATTTTCCCCGCAACAAATTCTGGTGAGAGCAAACATTGGCGACAAACACGATTATATAATTTTCAAAAATGTTACATTTTTAATAGTTATAAATGGCTCCTTCCGTGCCATGTATGAAATAATAATTTTTTACCGCACGCTTCAGTTTCAACTCAAAATTTTATTGAATAACTAAATATATCATTTGTCCTGGCTGAAATATTCGCTTTAAGCGTCGATCTTAACTCATTTTACTTGCCTAAACTACCAAACGAAAACCAAGTAGAAAAAATATAACTCAGTACTCACTGCCGTGAGTGACAGAGAGCGCATTTTCTCGTCGACGAAAACTTGAGTTCACGGACAGACGGACGGACAGACGGACGGACGGACATGGCGAGCACAATAGTGCATTTTTTCCATAAATGAGAAAATGCGCTAAAAACATTTCTAACAAAAATCATTTCAGAGGAAAATAAACTGACGTGCTACAACTGTCGGGGGTACAGAGCTGGGGAACTGGAAGACGCGGTTACCAACAACCCCGACTGTGACGTCGACTCCTTCTCACCCACCAGCCTCCATACAGTTACCGAAGTAGAGAAGAACGATACAACCTTCGCCGTCTGTTACACTTTCGTAATAAGAGATGGAGGTAACTTTCATCCAACGGTTTTTCCATGTTTTCTTCTTAAGGTTCTATGTGAATTAGGGTGCATCGAGACCTTTTATACCGTGATCCATCTAAAGAGAATTTATTTGAAGCTTTGCAACAACAGCTCAGTCAATCTGAATAACTGGTGTGTTCCCGTTTCAAAAAAAACGCAATTAATACATGAGTTGTCATATTATAACATTTTTAATAATATGAAATAATTTATCATTTATCGATAGATATTTTGTTGAACTGAAGTTTGTATAATGAGTTCTGCAAATTTTAACACGAAGTTTCCTCAACAGTTCACAATGAAAAACGGCCATACACAAAACGGGGTTTAGCGTACAGCACCATCGTGCCAAATCTGTCCAGTATGGATAGGTTTTTCCGCGATTTATCTTCATTAGACGGAGAAGATGTTTACTCCCGGGCTTCGCCAAGTTCACAAGTGGATTCTGTATCCGCTGGCAAAAAACTTGCGGCAAATATTAACATAAACATTGAAATTTGTCAGGATGATTTGTGCAATAACAAAAATTCAGCTTCGAATTCAGGTCTTCTTTCGTTGCTACTTGTTCTCTGTTTATCAATTATAATAGTATAAATGGAAAATGGTTATTGAACTGCACACTAGTGACACTACGTCAACTATTCAAATTCAAGGCTTTCAAGCTCTCCTACAATTTTGAAGCCACAACTCACAAGCTATCTCCTATTATCTTCTATCTAGTATCTAATTATTAATAAAATGAATGAATTATTTATCCTATTCCTTGATAATCCTATTTACTTGATTTTGTACTTATGTCAACGCTAATGCCTAATACCATCACTCAATGCGCCTTTTAACTTGATATTGAATGATAGAAATGTTCGAAACGTCGTTAACAAAATAAATATGTCCATCGGTAACCTGGTTTTTGATTTGCCAGTTCAAACTAAAAATATTGTTTGATATATTGAAAAAAATAATAAGAACATTGTGAATAAAACAAATTCTGTGGTCTTCAATGAAACCTGCTTGAAAGAAAAAATTCTGCTAACCTTAGCACCTATACTAACTTATTAATAAAAGTATACTATTAGGCATTTGGGCCAGCCACCATGACCCTTGAGATTGAGATTCCCATTCCAATTCCATATGTATAAAAAATGTTTCATTTTAGACTTTAGAGCCTCAGAGGCTCAGCCATGGGGCAATGCTACTGTGCAGAGAGTGGATGGATCATGGATATTGCAAGTCTACCAGATCTTTGGCGACGCTTCAGTAGCAAAATTTATGCCTTCAGAAGATCTTGCTAACACATTTACCACCATGCAGAGGGTGGATGCAGCGTCGGCAATATATGGATTTTTAAGCCCAAAGCGTCGCCAGCCATTTTAAAGATGCGTTGCCGGGTAATTTTTAATGAAAAGCCATTTACGCTGAGTAATGACGAACTATTTACAAGCCACGAACTTATTACAAGGTTGCATGCACNGCCGCGCGTCCATATTTAAACTATTTTAGCTTTCTAAAAGTACGGCACTTTCGGCGCATGGCGCATTTTTTTACCGGCATAGTACGGCGCACCGCGCAAGTCGTTAAAATGACAATATAAATTCCTGCGCACCTGGCACATCTTCCTGACCATGGCATTAGAGTGGTCAGACTGCATTATCACATGTTCAGTTGACACTTGCTGTACAATCAGACTGTTTTTTGGGTAAAATTAGTTATTTGGAGTAACACATGCATGCAACCTTATAAGTAAGTTCGTGGCTTGTAAATAGTTTTTCATTACCGGTACTCAGCGTAAATGGCTTTTCATTAAAAATTACCCGGCGACGCATCTTAAAATTACCCGGTGACGCTTAGGGCTTAAAAACCCATATATTGGCGACGCTGCATCCGCCCTCTGCACCATGGGGGCAATGGACATCATGGCATGGGATTTCATTTGTTAGAAGAAAAATTCTAATTTTGATTGTTATTATGTGGCAATTAATGAATTATTCTTATGCCTAATTTGCATAATATAATATTATATATCCTGTATCCATATTATGCTAGAATATTATGCATAATTTTTTTAAACTTGTGTTGTTGTGTATAAAAATTAAAAACACAAAAATTGAATCATTTCACAGATGGTTCCTGAAGTTGAAAATTCTTGGCAAAACATGCCTTTGTTTTCACAGTTTCATTTTTACAATATAACTACGTACCTACTTTGTACCTTCCACTTCTGAAAGTGCAACTAGGGCATTCCAAAACATTTTTTCTAATATAAGTCCTAAGTTTGAGAGAGTTGTGATTTTTATCAAGAAATTATGGCTCCAAAATTCTCAAGAGTCTTGCCTCTTATATTTATTTTATCATTTGCTTTTGATTGTTTATTTCATTTACGGTACTTTAATAAACTCTAAGCAAAAAAATGATGATTTATATTTTTCTCACCTTTATTATAAGCTTGATAATAATTTTCTGTTTTAGCAGCAATGTCTTGATTCTCAAAATTATATTTAGGATTTCCTTTTTGGATTTCTGTTAAAAGTTGATTCAGCTCCTATTTGTATGAATAAAATTTTTCAAATTAAAATTATTTTTTCCTGATAATGTCTAAGATATATATATATATATACATTTGAAGTGTAGATAGGTATATATATAGTTAGCCTAAGTTAGGTTTAATTTGTTCAGTTCATGATAATGAAATTTTACTTATAAGTTAAGAGTCAAATAATACTTATAGGTTTCATTTCTGTACTACCGTATTAGCAGATCAGTCAGAATGAAACAAGTCTGCCTCATAGTTTCTTTGCTTTTCTAGAAATTCTAACTTAGTTGAGCTATATACATCTAATGAATAGAGTATTTTGATATTTTTTAAAATTATTTATTGAATTGAAACCAAATGCCACAATTTTCTCATCTATTTAAAGAAATTTTTAAAATAGTTATTTGGTCTTCTATAGTCTTCATTAGGATCTTCATAATGTCTCCACTAAAATTATCTTGGTAAGTTTGTGCAGTCAACTTGTAAATTTAATCTACTGTATTGGCATTTTTATGAATATACCATTATACCTACATCTTTGTAATTTATTTGCTTTTCAATAAGCACCAGGAAATTATATGATTTTATCATGCATCTGGAATGACATATATACAAATATTTCATCTTCATATAGAATGGTCTCACTTTGGTACATTTTCTTAACTATTATCAGAAATCTAAAAGCACTTCATGAATGCTTATACTGGCATGTATATACAGTATGGTATCTATGACAAGGAATTTTCTGATAAACATTTCAGTAATGGTCTTTCGCCAACTTGAGGACATACTGTTCATAGTATAACATCCACTAATTTTTTTGGGTTCACAGGGTGCGGCACATCCTCAAAGGTCTTCTCTTGGTTTTGGCAGCTACAATTTTCTACAATGAATGGCTGGCTTTAAAATTTGAAATGCAGTCATGGGAGGCCATGGCTGTTGGTCAACACTATGGCAAAGGCGTTGCTGCTCGTGTGCTGCTTGTGGCTGATCCTCAAATGCTCAGTCCATTGTCTGAGCCATACTTCCCTCTCAGTTTATTAGCCATTTGGGATGCTAATCGGTGGGTGCATTGTATGCTTTTTTACAAGCTTTTAGTGTTAACCATTTTGTGATTTGCTTCACTGATTAACTTTGATTATGATTATGCATTTGCTTTTTATGTTTGTGTATTACTGTTGGTTGAATTTAAATTTATTGTAACTATTCAGTACAAAGTTTTGATCATCACACTCACTGATGACTGCCTGGCATTGAGAAAAACTTGGGTAGAATATCTTAACTGTTTGTCCTTTGTGGTTTGGTTTTAATTAAATGTTTACTATGTTGCTTACAAATTTTTTGTCCAAGTCTCAACTCATGAGAACATGCAGCCTTTTTTTAGTGCTGGTTTGTGTGAGGTGCCCATTGGTCTTACAGTTTCATGAGGAGAGGCTTTCAAGCTGCTCTGAGCACTGCCAAGCCTGATGTTGTAGTATTCCTGGGAGACTTACTCAATGATGGCAGTGTTGCAAGTGATAGCGAGTTTAATAACATGAAAAATAATTTCCTCGCTGACTTTGCTGTACCTGAAACTGTCAAGGTGAGTGCCCAATGCCCATGTTGCTTTTTAGTATACCTACCAAATTACCATTCATCTCAGTACCTAGATAAGGGAAAAATGTTTTCTTCGCTGGTTTCAAGAAAGTAAATTGAGTTAATTTGAATGCATTCTGTTGTGTTATGATGCAAGTTACTTGATTATGTAGTCTCTATGACATAAAACTTTGATTAGTAAGTAATTTCCATCATATATTCTTATCATTTTCATGGATGTTTTCTACTACATATTTTTCATGCAAAATGTAATCTTCAGTTTGGGCATAGTTGTGGCTTCCTGATTTTGCTTTCTTTTTTTTTTTAGGTGCTTTTCCTATGTTAAACTGCCATTGCTATTCATTTCACCTTGTCATTTGCCTATCACAACAGTTCGCCCAAAATTACAACTCCTTCCCTATGCATACTATCCTATCTGCATTACTGGTATATCAAATCTTTTCTTTACTTTTGAATGCAATAACTTGCTCATAGCTCCTAATTCATGAATGTTCCAAATTCTTTGAGCAAAGTCCTTGCTTGGAGGAATGCATGCATAATTACCGGTATGTACTAGTCTAAAATTGTATCAAATACCGTATGCTGAGAAACGATAGTAAATTGCTTGCATAAAGTGGCTTTGATATTTTATAATATAATTTTGAATGCTCCTAGCATGTATGAATGATTACTACCTTTTGCTGGAGCAAGAAACATTTTGCAATCTCATTTCACTTATGAGCAGCTTGTGATCTACCTGCCTGGTGACAATGATGTTGGTGGAGAAGCTGGCGACTTGCTTACTGTGGCTAAAATTGCGCGGTTCCAAAAAGCTTTCCCTATGCCCAGCAGTCTGCACTACATGTTCATGGAGATGGTACCAGTGAGTGAATCATTAGCCAAACATGGTTTTTAATACGTATTTGCTTCTGCTAATATTCTCATGTCCCTCTGCTTTAAATTTGTAAAAAGGAAATAGTTTGTTTCAAGCTTACTGACTTGCTTAAGGTATTTTCAGTTTGCTCTATTTTATTTGGTTGGAAGATATTTTGATGATTGCATTTGTAATATTTTTGTATGAAATCGAATTGCTGTAAATTTTTAACATTATCCCATAGAATAAGAACTATAATCATTTTTCATGTTTTTTGATAGATGATTTTGCATTGCTACAGTTGGTTGATAGATGAAAATAATTATATACTAAATTTACTTGAGGAGGATTAAATTTTAATTCCACTTATAGGTATTAGTATTAAATGTGTGCTTGCAGGTGAGTCCTGCTCTAGGAAGCTCCAGTCCCCCAATATTGGAGACCCCGCCTGGAGTACTGCGGCTGTTGCTTTCGCACTCCCCTCTCCTGCCCAGCACTCTCAACAGGAAGGTCTCTCACCAATTCCAAATACATGCTAGAAGAGAGTTTGAAACTCTCAAATAAGTGTCCCTTAACTTAATCTGAAGGTTATGATCATGTCTTGAATGATTGAAAACGTTAAACATGATTCATAAATTTTATCATTTAAAAATTAATCATTCATCAAAATGCAATAAAAATTTGCAATTTTTAGCGCATTTTCTCATTTATGGAAAAAATGCACTATTGTGCTCGCCATGTCCGTCTGTCCGTCCGTCTGTCCGTCCGTCTGTCTGTCCGTGACCTCAAGTTTTCGTCGACGAGAAAATGCGCTCTCTGTCACTCACTGCAGTGAGTACTGAGTTATATTTTTGGATATATTTGCTATCAATGTGATAGTTATTTTTAGTGCAAAATTTATTTTAATATTGCAGAGGCTACAAGCTGAGAAACCAACATTAATTTTCTCGGGCCATTTCCACGAGTCATTCCATTTCTCTGGCGACAAAAGCAAGTTCCATGCGTCGAAGTTCTGGCCGTTCAACGAGCGCGGTACTGTGCTCAACTTCACGTTATTCTCCGACGAGGTCCACGAGATTATCGTACCTACATGCAACTACAGGATGGGGAAAAAGTCTTATGGCTTTGGCCTCGCAGTCCTAGGTTAATAAATGTAACTTTTACACTTGAGCATCTGCGCATTACAGATGGGTTTATCATCTACTCGCGTGAATATGTGGATAACATCAACATAGCTTAATATTAATTTATTATTGTAGAAGCTTGAACGTTATCTCAAAAAAACTTGAAATCTGGTAATTATTCATGTTTGGCTAAGTTTTCTTTCAGGAATATTTGCCTGCAGCGAAAATTGTGCATGCAAATTTCAATTCTAATTGGTCTTTTCAAATTTTCTGGATACTTGAGCAAGCTTACTTTTTGAACATTATTAGCATCAAATATTTTTCACACAAAACTGATACCAAAGTTTTTAAAGCCATATGATGTGCAAGCTTAATCGTTAATATGTTTCAGACAGCACAGGTTGGCTGGAATACGGTGTGTTGTGGCTGCCTTCGCGATTCTGGCAGCTGCAGTTGTACTGTTGCATCATGAGCCTAATGTTCCTCTTGCTGCTACTTCCGAACATCTTACGGCTGTGCTACGCAGTGTACTGCTACAGCAAGCTGCTCTGCCGCAGTACTGCTCATCAAAACCCGGCTACAAAATTAACTCAAACGCGGAAAGGCTACGTTCAGCTTGTCCCATTGCCCTGATTATCTCCCTCTGCATTCACTCCAGCTTGATATAATTGATACTCGTCAAGTCCTTTTAATTCACGAGTCTCTACCTTAGTGCCTACTATTGTTGCGTCACAGTGACGTAATGTCCCGTTGAAGTCAACCCTGCCGTTCTTATAATGAGGCACACGTTCAACTATTACTGACGTTGCCTTATCATTCTCCGTCTTGTTCAATGCTGGTCTGTTCTTAATTCCCGTGCTTTAGACAAGGAATGAAGAACAAATATCCTGAGAACTATGTAATCTCAAATGAATATACATTTTGTAATCTTTTTTCCTTCTACATCTACTTAGAATCTCAAACCTGAACTCAAATAATCTCACACTTGAACTAGTCCGTCATCATTCCATTCAATTAAGTGAATCTAACGTTTTTTATCGATTTATATCAATGTTTATTAAGCTAAATCGTAACTTATCATGTCTCGTAATAAGTATAGCATTTGTGGCCTTTATTGGGTCGTTTGTGTTTTTTCACTAGAGTCGATTTGTCAGTAACATCATGATAAATTTACGTGGAGTTTACGCATCAATTTACGCCGTAAATAATTTAAAACGTCGCTATAAAAATGTGTCGTAGAGCTATTTTACTCTAAGCGTTCTAACTAGACATCACTTATACTACCGCCAAAGTTCATTTATGCCGGAAACATTTAGACTTAGTCCGAGTTACTCATAGTGGTCATATCGGCACAGGGGTTCTCAAATTTTTTTCAAGTGATCGTAAACTGATGCATCTATAGTTATCTGATCTGTATAGTTTAAGTGACCCATGTTTGTGAGCGTTGTAGCAAGACTGGAATAGCTTATAGGATAAGAATAACTGGTGGCCATGCACTGCTGCTGAGATCTGATCGCTGCTTCTTTCTCACCAGCTTCAATTCGCTGGCTATTTGAAACTTCCGCGCTTTGTGCACAATCTAGGATTTTCTTTTAAATCTGCAACTCATACGTTCATGTTATAGAAGTGTTCTACGAATCAAAAATATTATTGTCACCTTATGAATCAGTACTCCGTGAGTGGTAATCAACGGCGCAGTCTGTGAATAACTCAAAACTACGACTGATCTGGAGCATACTTATTATATACCTTTCTATTACTCTATTATTATTCCATCAACCTACTTATTTTAAACTTTAAAGCTATTAAAGCTTATTAATGTTGTAGGCGTGATACTTCATTCTTTTTTCACATTTATATATAATTATAAGTACACAATTATATGTACACAATTTACAAAGTTCACTAAAAATTTACCATTACAATACGCAATTCATTGGATAACACTATAATATGCTAAATACATAGATTTCTTTAGAATATCCTTTGCATATAATGTAAACCCATTCAGTGATCAAGAGTAAAACATTAATCATTATTCACACTTATCAACACTTGAAATATCACAATACCTTAGCAGAACTAAGGTTGCTCTAGAATTCTTATCCATGAGGGAATGGTTTTAGAGGTGTTGTTCGTTAGATATTACCACCTTTCTTTATCATTCCCATATAATTTTTTGAACCTTCAATTTTTTCCAACCTCAAAGCTTTCAAATTGTTACTAGGAAAATTCTTCACTTGTTTTTTCAAACTATTTCATTCCTATATACTGTATGTGGTACTCACTTATAATATTTTACGTAATTTTTAGTTATTTCAGTAATATAAGATCCAATGAAGCGCTTCGCAGTTATTTTTACGTGATGTTGCTACGCTATTCCGTATATTGAATATTATTGTATTAACTTATGTAACCATGAGCTCAATGAATCCGTCCATGTATTAGTATTAATTGTTCGCAGCTTTACTATTAGATCTTTACGTATATACATATATATCGTGATAAAACAAGGCTTATTTTCATTTATCCATCCGTCGCATTCATGGATTCTGCCTTCCGTCCTTGCTAGCGTGAAGACGGGAAGAATTGTTGGTTTTACGAAGTCTGAATAAGAGCATANAACTGCAGACATATCGCGAAGATATTCAAAGCATTGAAAGTATTTTTGAAGACACGATGAGTTGCTACTTCGACGTACCATTTACCAACTATGGGCAAAGAATGAATATAATTCACATATTTAAAGAAAAAAATAGCTTCACAAAAAATTGGCCCAAATTAAGGGTGTTCTAGTGGAGGCTTAAAAGCGATAAGAAACAGCTTGTTGATATAGCGGTTATGAAGTGAAGTGAAAAATAGTGACATAAATACGAAGTAATCGTCCTTGTAACCTCGTGATCCTGATGCGAAAAGAAAAGTAGACCTCTAATAATAAACTACTGTCAATGCCGAAAACCTCGCCAGCAGCACAAACCTGCTGACCTTCAATAGAAACGATCTATTTTATAAACAAAATTGAACGATATTCTTCTAGCGCGATCGAAACTTTTTTGGTTATTATGTCGCGATCGAACCCTACAAATTGTAGTTTTTACCAGCATTATACGTTTCCTAGTGACGGTCGGCGGTGTACGAGCAGGTTCTGCTGAGCGACGACTTTTGTGGCATTGACGGCAGATGCAATAATATGAATCCTAGTATCCTAATGAGCGGGCGGGCAGTGAGGCTCATGCTATACATGCGAAGAGATGGGTGCCGGTAATCTATGGGCCTGGATACGGATAAAAAACTTGTTATCTAGTGGTGTGGATGCGAAGATAAATGCCTTGTAATTCAATGACCTGCTGCTTTGTATTCTATAGGTATGGATGCCGGGGAAAATGCTTTGTAATCTAGTAGCCCGGAAGTCAATAGAATAATTTTTACTTCGGCAAGTGGCTTGTGTTTCTTTCGTTTCAGATTTGTGGGAGCCTCTGAAAACTAGTCCAATGTGGCCCCACGACAGAGTTTTGAGTTATATTTGCCTAAGTAATTACTTCACGTGGTACTTTTTGGACTTCACAGTTACTCTCAATCAGTACGCAACCCTGCCTAACTCCAGCTCCCTGCCTATCTCAAGATCCTATTCTTAGCACCTGTTGGAGAGAACAGGCAAGTGGCTTGGATGCGATTTTCATGAAACTCTTTCTTGACGTTCAGGACTTAGAAACCTTAACCCTATCTACGGACTCTGCTTTCATGAAGTTTGATGTATATATATAGTTTATACTGTAAATACCGAAAAATTTTGAACATTGTTCTGACTGAGTGACAAAACTTTTATGATGCCCACCCTTGAGCTGATCGAGTGGCAGAGAAGTGAATACACTCAGCAAATATTGTTGCTTGCTTTTCGACACATTTGATATTGAATAAATACCTAATTTGATCTCTGCAAATTCATGTTACATACACTTCTAGATTAACATTTCTACTTTGTACTAACGTCTAACGGACATATGTAGACAGCAATTATCAATATAATGTTATTAATACAACTGATGTTATCAATTTAATTTTATTAATTCAACTCTACTGTAGGCCGATTATTAGAAGTATTCTCCCTCTCAGTCAAATCGCACTTCTTATATTTTAACTATGCTTTGTAACTGTCAATATTCTACATACAGGTTTAATTCTCATTTACTACGTTATCATACGGATCATACATATATGTATATCTTCATTAGAATATCAAACAATCTATGACGTGAACAGCTTTCAAGCGCAAATTCAGTGAAAATAAATAAAAAATAATATTCAGTGAAAATAAATAAGCTTACATTTCCTAGATTTCTGTTGTGCACCGTAGCGCCGTAGGCTCGCCAGAAGCGCTGTCTTAAACCTTGGTGTCGCAATACTGCTCCAAGTTATACACCTCTTGAAACCTGTCTTTTGAAGGCGTGGCTAAAAATTCAGGTTATCCTCCTATTGAGTAATCGACTTGTAAGAAAGGAAGAGTGTCCCAGGATGCCAGCAACGCAGGTGGATGAGAGAACAAAAAGTCCGGAGGTGCTCAGTGAAAGTTCGTGCGGCTACGGCATGGAGGCTTAGAAAGCACAACCAAGCGATGCTTCATGCATATGTGGTGACGTCATATTCGTTTCGGCGTTATACAATATGTTGATAATTTAGATGTGAAAGCGTTAATGTTTAGGTAATACATGCTTTGTCGCATATGCTGGACGCAGTAAAAATTTAGAAGCAAGTTTGATCTCAAACCCGCAACTCACTCTTCCGAACTTACATCAAAACCTACTACCCGTTTAAAGAATTTAGCGCTCTCTTTTAGGGAATTATTAGAGGAAAGACAAAAAATTAAATAATATATAAAACCAAAATCAAACACTGCTACATTCTCGATTTTAAAATACATTATAACAATATGCGATTGATTTGTTCGTAGATGTTTGAAAAACATGATGTTTTTATCACAGTATTTACACAAAATTACATTATTTCTGAGTCACCCTTATAGATATTTTATAATTAAATACGCTGCACATTCATCATTGCATATAAATGTATCAGAAAAGGAAAATCACTGATGTTCTTTCTTGCTGTAACATTGCATAAAGAATAAATGACTCTTTCCGTCAGCTAGCAGGCAAGACAAAAGAAATTTCTTGCCTCAGAAGACGATTGAGTCACTTTACCAATCTTCATTATAATACGGAAGAGTCTCAGTTGGTGTGGGACAGCAACAATGGCGTCACTAAAATTACCTAACACGTTCCAATGGCATTACTACTATTAACTTGCACGGTGTAATGGCATTAGCATTATTACCTAATACGGGCGGAAGTTCTCCAAAAGAAAGCGTCTGTTTTTGTCCCGCAGGCGCTGTCACTTTCCCTGCCCTGTGCTGAGATGCGAGCTACGCGGACAGTCGCTGTACGAAACTCGTGCCACTGGGTCGACTAGGTTCTCTGAAGCCATGTTTAAGGTATGTGATATGTCATATGTATGTGTTATTATTATGATTATTCTACGGCAAAAGTGAATGTTATTATTTTCCTACGAAGAGATTGCCGATGCCTGGTACAATCATGTGTTTCAAGTTAAGGAAACTAAGAAAAATTTTAAATTCCTACTGAATGACGTAGTTCCCTGTACGAATCATGTCATGTACGTAGTCATGAATCGTGATAACGAATGTTTGTTGAGGTATGGTTGTAAATTTTTACTCCTAATTAATCCATGGTTGTACTCCGTGCGACTAATAAGGCTCAAGGGACCCATGTTCAATTGCTAGTCTACAAATTGCACATGTTCGTGTCTGCTAATTTTTATACATTTATTTGAAATTCCCGACTTGAATCTGACGCTTGTAGAGCTATTGAAATTTTTAACATATTTTGTGAGATTTTCATACCCAAATAAATTTTTAGGATTGAAACAAATAAGCGGTTCCCTACATACCTATATTTCGCGAAGGTCTTCCAGGTGGTTACGTGGATAATTCTGAGGTCCTAAAAGATTTTTAGTTGCTTTAATTTTTCCTTTACAAAAAATTACAAACACATGATCTGGCCTCAGCTTACAATTGATTCCATGCACCACCGCTAAAATTCCGTTGAATTGATATAGTACACTAACTTGATATGCTCTAAATTATTCGTCTAAACATACTTAATATTAATTATTCAATGAAATAACAATATAGTAGTAAGTAAAAAATATTATTACATATACTTTGGGTTACGTGGCGTGCGTCCGTCTTCCAGAATACTTATTTGTTGTTGATTTTAACACAACATAAAATAAAAATAAAAACTTCAGCGACGAAAAGAGGGTTAAAGGTGTTCTCTTCATAGCTTAATTCAGTGATTTATATTTAATTAAATGACTTAATTTAATTAAATGACTATTACCTTTTTAAAATTATTCCAATTTTAAAAAGTTACAATTGCCTGTGGTCCTATAGTATATTTTAATCAGTAACTCATATACAGATTTTAGTGATTTAATTCAGTGATTTATATATAATTTAATTAAATGACTATTACCTTTTTAAAATTGTTCCAATTTTAAAAAGTTACAATTGCCTGTGGTCCTATAGTATATTTTAATCAGTAACTCGTATACAGATGTAATGACTTCAAGGGCAATGCACCCGAGTGGTTACAGTTAAAAGCACAAACAAAAATGGAGCAGTGACTTGTGGGTACGATCCAGCTAGCTTAGAAAGTTCATATTGAAATGAGCGGGTTAGCCGGGTGGTTAAAAACAGCAATACGGTAGCAGTGAGTTTCGGGTTAAAACCCTCAGCGAGTTGCAAAAATTTTTCGATGTTCGGAATCTTCAACAGGCCAGATTTAGCTTAATCAGTGTCAACGCTACTATGACTATTACTTCTTCGCCGTAGCAACAAATTCATTACTGTGCTAAACCTAAACCATAAATTATTTATCCCCTCATTTTTTTATAAAAGATTTGTTTCAATAAACGATGCATCTAATGCGTGCCGATATTATAATATAATATTTTCATATTTTTCCTAAGGTACTCATTTGATTCATGAGGCCTGCCGTGAGGTTAATATATGCATTTCTTCATCCACAGGAAAGATGGAAGCAGTTGGTGGCATTCACCTTCGCAGTTCTTCACATCACCATCGTTTTAGGGCAGCCATCAGAAACAGCCAGCCTCCACTCGGAAAATGGGATGCAACTCGCAGAAGAAATGCCCATATCATACGTTGAGTTTCAATACATCCCTTCATATGGCGACATAGAGAGACAAGGTTATTTCACGGAACAACGAAGTAACGGAGGCTTCATGGGCTTCATATCTGACTCAGCAAAGTACATCACCGATATTTTCTCGGGTAGTGTCTCTTCTCCACATCGTTCCCAATCGTCGGTTGACGAAAGGGCTTATCGGCTTCCACCCCGAGCCGTTCAGTCGCGATTTACACCTGATAGGAGTGGTCCAGATTTTACTCCTCAGAGATTTCGGTCACATCCTATGGGCCCTCCTCGTTTTGGTGGCAGGAGACCTCCTTTCCTACGCCACTCTCGACACCCTCCGCGAGAAAACAGAGATTCAACTGAAGATCTACCCACAGAGAAACCTGGTTTCTGGACTGGAGGTTATAGCAGCCATTTTAAAACAATTGATGTGGATTCTCCCGAACACGATGATAATTATTACGATCCAGTTGACGAAGAAAATCTAATTGACCGTCGATATACTGGCTCTCAAAATTGGCCTGCAGGAAACTCGAATCTGGTCTCTAAGGGCGATCTTAGCGAAGACAAATTAATTGATCTGCTAACATCGAATGCGTATCGACTGCGTCTTCCACTTGAAACCATAGATACACGTGGTGCAGATGCAGCTCCTAAAAATTATGGCCGTTTCTCGTGGCCTGATTCGTCGTCACGCGAAGGTAACGAGAAGAGAAACTCTGGAAGCAAATCATCACATCAATCATTGTTCAATCGAAATTTCAATTCACAAGCATCTCTTGAAGCCACTTTCAAGGCTTACCAAAGAGGAAATTCCTACGATGCAGACGTCGAAGAAGCGATCAGAAAATGGGAAGAGTGGGGCAAGCTGATAGGGAAAAGCACTTCAACGAACACCAAGCAAAACAACATAGAGCCCATTAGGTCTGCTAACACTGTCACCACGGCCCCAGTAAAGCAAACCCGATACACTACTCAAACAGTTCGGAATAATATCTCTACGATAGGTCAAACAAGACGAACGAGGCATGAAAATAATTTTGCGGTCAACGCCAAAGTTAGTCATAAGAGTTTTGTACCCAGCAATGTTCAAAGCACTTTGGATCTCTTAAACATTAACAACAATAACCAACCTAATAATCGCAACAAATTAGTGTCATCAAACAGCACCAGACTCGTTTTGACTGATAGTGGTTCTTCTCATATGATTGATAAGAAATACGAAGTGTCTAATGTTGTTGATGCCCTAAAAATAGTTGTTGATGCCCTCGAAAATTCTGCGAGCGGTGAAAAAATTTATTTAAAGAAGCCCCAAGCGCAGCAACCAACAATTTTGAACTATCAATTGGCTTCACAGCAGCCTGTCCAGCAGAGTAAACTTAAACATTTTGGAGAAGAGTGGACCCCTTTGTTCTAGACTATATTTTAAATACAATTTGACGATGATGTACAATAATAAAGTTTATCCAATAAAAGTTTTTAAGAATAAGGTAATTTTTAATCATCTTGTGATCTTTTAGTATATATTTTTTAGAAAAAAAATCGAGTTATTCTTCTCCTCATATCTGGCAGACAGCATTTGTTGTGAAATACTGTCATCCGCCTTGAAATAATGCGTAAATATTTAATTGCATCTCATTCATGAGTTCAAGCATGGTTGAACTATTCTAATAGTTCAACCATGAGTTCAAGTTTCTGAATCACAGATAAAATTGTATCACTTGACATTCCAAGTTTTAGAAGCTATCATCGACTTCCGCAAAGTTTCCAGGGGCTCTAGGGCTGGCTCTGGGCTACGCTAGGCTAAGTCGCTAAGAGAGCCTTAGAGAGGCAGCGGCGTTCATCGAGCAAACATTTCTAGCGGCTAGCGCTCTTGATTTCGTAAAGTTAACCGGCTATTACTTGATCTCGTGCTATACTTCAATATATACAAATACAACAAGTGACACTGCCACTGGGTGCAGGGTGGCGGCCTGGTGGCCCAGTCACCACTCACTAGTGGTTACATTTCAGAGTACCAAGATTGGAGCCGGGAGGTCGGAGCTTCGGATTGCTCGGAGGTGCTCNACCAGCATTATCATACTTAAGAAATTGGTTTAAATCTTTAGTTTTTGAGGAAATTAAAAATGAACTGATTCCAAAAAAGCTCTGGTTTGCCACTATGCCGCCCAGTCACCACTCACTAGTCACTAGTGGTTACATTTCAGAGTACCAATATTGGAGCCAGGAGGTCGGAGCCTCGGATTGCTCGGAGGTGCTCGTTTGATCCCAGATTCCCAGCTCTGTGCCCTAGTTTCTGGTCAGAATTTGCAAGGAGGCTGGACAGTTAGGCTAACGCGGACTATCGACTGCATAAATCCTATCGACTATCGACTGGCATGCGGTTGTTCAACGACCAGATGACCTTGAGATAAATTTTACAACGACTCTTGTGCCTCACTATGAGACCTGGAATGAACTGAAACTAAAAAAGCTCTGGTTTGCCACTATGGAGACAGGTGGGGTAATAAGAGAGAGTACACCAACAATTTGTTGAAAACTTGAAATGTTGTAGCTGCTAAACTAATTAGGCCTAGGGTAAACGCGGTATATTCCGACATCGTAGGTAATTCCGTCACCTCTCCAGCTTTTCCTTTATATTAAGCTAGTAACGCATACAGGTTTTTTTTATAGTTTTTCATTTCTCGATGCGTCCTTAATGTGTCGGAATATACCGCGTTTACCCTACTAAAATATTGCAAATGAAAAATAGTGCCAAGTGGCATAAGCCATAGAGTTCAACATTTTTTCTATCTAGCCTATGTACCTATCATGAAGCAAGTTAAGAAATTATACATTTAATACCTCTTTAAAATCTTTGAGAAAAATTGTAAAAAGGGATAGCCTATTTTGAAAAAGGACCTCTGCTAAGGTCTGTACCATCTGTAGACTGTAGCAACTAGCAAAAAAACTATTCACTGCACCTGCAGGCTGCAGCAGGCTGAGAGTTGCAATATTCATCCACTGTCTGCACAGGTAAATCAAGGGCAGTGTGCTTCCTACTATCACTTTGCTAAAGTAAATGCTAATCTTGTAGTTGTTCACAAATCACAATCACACGACTGACATGAGCATGTGGGATGTGGCCCCAGACGTGGTTTGTTGTGCATTGCCTTTTCTTCAAGAAGTTTCTCCAACTGCTGATGAGTTTTTCCTCAATTTGAAAGCTGAGGTAATGAATAGGTGCCATAAATGTTTTTTTATATTTAATTTGAAACTGTTATGTTGGGAGTAAATAGTATTTCCTTCTGTAGATCCATCCCGGCATCCCTCTTGCTCATCTGTGAGTGACGTGCGCAATTAACAATCTTGCATGGGACCTTCTCTGTGTTGCCTGACTTGACGTTCATACGATCATAGCTACCGTAACCTAAGCCTATTTCTGATGGCCTGCAAATCTGTTTTTAGTTGCCTGGAACGTTTTTTTAGGTGGAACCGCTGGAACACTTTTTTATGTGAACCACGAATTTTAGAATTCCAGCCTGGCAGGATGGAATTCTCCATGGTCAGGAAGATGTGCCAGGTGCGCGGGAAGTTATTTTGTCATTTTAACGACCTGCGCGGTGCGCCGTACTACGTTGGTAAAAAAATGCGCCGTGCGCCGTACTTTAGAAAGCTAAAATAGTTCTACTATTTTAGTCAACAATATACGCGAGTAATGCGAGTATATTGACTACGCAAGTCAAACTGACAATAATAAAATGTAAGACATGTCCGGGTTACTTCTGACTCCTCCGGTTGTCCGCCTTGTCGGATACGGAACATACAGTAATCGTAAACTGTGGCTGTTATACATACGAAATGTAAACAAATGGTGTTCAGTGTTGCCATATGACTTTGGAGAAAATTTCTTCTAAAATAAAGATGGCCGGGATTGCGCGAACATGCGCGCGAAGATAATCAATTTTCATTACATTGCGCCAACTGTGCACAGCAATAGCTTAAAAAAAGTGAAAATGCGCGGGAAAATTCACCGAAAACATACATCATCCTGAGTAATCATGGCCAGGGTGGCAGCCTGGCAGGGTGCAGAGGGTCCTAAGTGGAATAAACACGACATCAGAGGGATTCGTCCCTCTGTTAATCAATTCCACAGATGGCTTAGGCTGCAATAAATTAGCACCAGTTCCGCAGGATGAACAAAATGAAAACCAAAGTCAAATTCAATTCCGCAGCGCTATTGGAAAAGTGAAATCCGTGTGAAGTTCAAAGCCTGGAAATTGCGTCAGACACATGATCAAACAGGAGCTACTTTCATGTTCATCGACCGTCGTATTGCTCTAGAAACAAATGTGACGTGAATGCAATCTGTGACTACTGACCACAGGGCTCCAGCTAACTGAGTCTGAGACAACTACATTACTGCAAAATCCTTGCAGTTGACACCCTGATTTGCATGTGTGTGGGTGTGCTCTTACTGTTATACGGTTGCCTCCATAATAGAAGACATCTTTGAGTTTTTCAACAAACTCCTTTTGTAATCAACGCCCAACGGTATGTTGAACTGTTTTTCATTGCATTACAACTAAATAATGAAGGTTTGCTCTGATGGTTCTTTCCGTAGTAAATAGGAGCTGGAATTTGGGTATGTCTCTCAACTCAAGTCTGTCATGACTCGAGGAACATTACCGCGCTGTCATGTGTTGGTGACTCATGCCGTCATCCAAATTTAATTTCAATTTTCAAATGTTGCTTCATAAGAAGCAAGGATTAATTCATCATCTTTATTATGAATTTCTTGGTTCCTCAGTATTCTGCTCAGTGTGATAGTAATTTTTTGCGTTAACCATGAGAAATTTAAATGTTTGGTTGTCTTTGAACGATCTTCTAAAACGTCAAATGAAATCCCACAATCAAATAACCGTCAATGCCACTAACTTTGCCACAGGCAAACACATTTATTGCCAGTCACCAAAAGGAACTACCCGGTATCTATTTTGTTAATAAAACTATCAAAAAAGCTCTGTAGTTACTGTGTGCGTGTGGCAATCAAACCCTACAAATCCTACGCCAGTATTATATTACTTATATTGACAAGCTGTATGTTAAGTGCTGTAGCTGCTGCGTGACGACTTACGTGGCATTGATGGCGAATCAATCAAAATTGCAATCTTTTTATTAGTCTAAAATACATGCAAATTTTTCACTACCGTAGTTATCTAATTTTTTCTCAACAAGATGACAAATACTTGAGACATCTATTCCTGGCAAGAAATTCACTTTAGTAGAGGTATACATAAGCAAAGCTTTTTCCTTTTCAAAAAATTGTAATTAAATAATGCATTAAATTTTTTGCATTTGAATTTTTGGCATTCCATGAATTTTAGAAAATTTGCAATACACACATTTCAATGCTTATGGGAGCACAGTAAGATTTTTTTGCATATTTACCTCCATCCGTTTTCAATTAAAATACCTACTACTGAAAAATGTTTATTCAACCACTTTGCCTCACTGCGGCTGTTTGGCATTCCCAATTATTTAATTTTTAAAAAAATGTGTATTAAATTGAATACGCACATTTCCCAACTCATTGTGCTGAGGCAAAAATTTTTTGCTCTTTTGCCTTTTCAGGTTTTCAATTAAAAACATAAAACGGATAAATTCAACCATTTTGGTGTGTCCAATTTCTTCAATTCTTGACCAATAATTATGAAATTAAACAAACAATTAGGACATTTTTAACCTCAATACANACCCTCATCTACCAGTTATCTACCCCTGTCTCTTATACACATCTAGATGTGTATAAGAGACTTGCCATATACATTAATTACCGTATTATTGATGTGCAATTATCGTATTATTGATGCGATATTACCGTATCCATGAACATGCCATTGAGCATTTACAACAACCTTGTCCACTGCAAGCTTCATATCAGCAGCCTTATAGCATTTTTTTCATATCTGTAAGCTTACAGGACGGCTCGTAATTTCACATCATTTTAATTGGGTTAAATGAATTTACTATGGTAAAAAAGATCGTGAAAAACATACCTGAAGCAGAAAGGAATGTTTTCAGTTTCGACAGCTGTGTATGAGAACAAAAGCACGATCAGTTGAGGTACATGGGGCTGGTGACCTTCACAGTGTAGGACAGTGACAACCAACGTATCTTTTGGAGAAATAAATCATAGTTTAGGTCAATTAGTTTTCATTCTATGATGCCTGGTGCACAATTCTATACATGACATGCTATGCACAATTTTGTGATGACCGATAATGCACTAACTTTTCGATAAGTGAAATTTTTTCGCTGAGCAAGGAAAATGTGATCAATATTCTTTGTTTTTAATCAATTTTTTTCATAATTGGAGCCTTTGCTAACTGAGGTTCTACCGTAAATGTGTTTTTGGGGGTGTCCCAAATAGCCCCGGGGAGGTGTCCCGAGTAGCCCCGCCGTGCGGAAATGGCTGCCATTTCTTTTTGAAATGAGATAGACAAATTCTGTCAATTACATTTTCAAGCCGACACCTGGGTGCATTTTTTACGTAAGTAAAATTTTTTAATACGTCGAATATTTTTTTTGCTACATACCTTAGCAGTTGTAACTTTACAAAATATAGTTTTTCACCATTTTTTTTCAGGAATTTTTCAAAGCAAGTAAATGTAGTACCGGTATTTTTCGACTTCCTTTATACTATATAGATAGGGAATAAAATGTATAAAAAAATTTCTAAAGACCACGTTTTTCATGTGGACTCAAAAGTGGAAAATAATTTTTTGGCAGCTACTGATCTCTGTTTGCTTTCATTCTCTTGGTCACGAAACACGAATATCCTCTCGAGGATGACGTGCATTAAAGGTTCCAACCCCTGCTTGTGAGTTCCTTTAGAGTTTATATGCTTGGAAACGTGCAACAAATTATTGATTATTGTATTGTTATCGGGAGCTGAGCTACCCTAAAAGTTTCAGAGCGCTAGCTAATGGGAAAGTTGGTGAAATATCGATTGCAAGATTTGATCATCACAGACACGAAAGCGAGCTAAGAAAAACGTGGTAAAAATGTTGACGTTTATGCCACTATTTTTAGTTTTGCAATATTCCAATTAGTTTTGCTACTACAACAGTTTTACGCCGTGTCGGAGGCCTGTCCCGAGTAGCCCCGCTTGTCCCAAGTAGCCCCGGTTGACGGTATGGTAATATAATATCAATAAAGGAAAAACAAGTATAAATCATAGAAAATGTCATTTATTCTACCTCTACATCATCTACAATGAAAGAGGAGGACTTCAGAGTCCTGTGAGTAATGGATGAATACACTCTGCGTGCTTTAAATGTTTTAAAATGAAGTTTTATTCCAAATGTTCCTAGTAGCCCCGTTTGACGGGGCTACTCGGGACGCTATTTTTTTTGCTTCCAGCACCTTACGAATAGCATATGGAATTTTTTTGGAGAAGCCATGTGATTTTCCTTGCAAAGAGCTTTGAAATGAGCTTAAACTTGTTTATGAAATGTTTGATGGTAAGAAGTTATGAATGAAAAGCATTCAAAATCATCCCAAGTAGCCCCGGTTGATGGTATTTTTGAACTTCCTTTATACTACATAGATAGGAAAAATTTTGATGTTTACGCCACTATTTTTAATTTTGCAATATTCCGATTAGTTTTGCTACTAAAACAGTTTTACGCCGTGTCGGAGGACTGTCCTGAGTCACCCCGCCCATCCCGAGTAGCCCCGGTTGATGGTACCAGGGGCAGCAAGTGCCTGAAAAAACTGACCTATCACCCCCACCCTTACCTAGTTGCCACTACCAGGATGGTCAATTACAACAACAACAAATTTATGCATAGAATGTCATAGATAGAATTGTTCTCCGGGCAACAAAGAATGAGAAGAAATTAACCTAAATTATTATTTTTTTCTCTAAAAATATGGTGGGTTGTCACAAAAATATTCCTTTTTGTTTCAGGTATGTTTTTACATTTTTTTTATAGTGAATTCACTTGACTCAATCAAAATGGTGCTAAATTACAAGCCATCCTGAAAGCCTTGCTACAGAAGAAATGCTACATGGCTGCTGATATTAAACTTGCAGTGGACAAGGTTGTTGTCAATGTTCAATGGCACATCCATGGATACGGTAATGCCACACCAATAATAATGTATGGATAAGGTAATATCATATCAATAAAGGAAAAACGAGTAAAAATTGCAGAAAAAGTTGTTTATTTTACATCTACACAATCTACAAAGGAAAAGGAATACTTTAGAGTACTGGTACCGTTAGTACCGTCAACCGGGGCTACTCGGGACTGGCAGGGCTGCTCAGGACAGGCCTCCGACACGGCGTAAAACTGTTATAGTAGCAAAACTAATTGGAATATTACAAAACTAAATATAGTGGCGTAAACGTCAACATTTTTTCTATCTATGTAGTATAAAGGAAGTAAAAAAATATGACATTTACTAGCTTTAAAAAATTCCTGAAAAAAATGGTGAAAAACACTTTTGAAAAGTTACATTTGCTAAGGTCTGTAGCAAAAAAAAAAATATTCGCTGTATTAAAAAATTTTACTTACATAAAAGTTGCACCCAGGTGTCAGCTTGAAAACATAATTGACAGATTTTGCCTATCTCATTAAAAAAAATGGTGGCCATTTCCGCACGGCGGGGCTACTCGGCACACCCCCAAAAACAAATTTACAGTAGAACCTCAGTTAGCAAAGGCTCCAGTTAAGAAAAAATGGATGAAATACAAAGAATATTGATTACATTTACCTTGCTTGGCAAAAAAATGTCACTTATAGAAAAATTAGTGCATCGTTGGTCATCACAAAATTGTGCGTAGAATGTCATATGTAGACTTGTGCACCAAACATCAAAGTAATTGACCTAAACTATGATTTATTTCTCCAAGACATATGATGGCTTGTCACTAAAACATTCCTTTCTGTTTCAGGTACCTATGTTTTTCATGATCTTTTTTTATAGTAAATTCACTTAACCCAATCAAAATGTTGTGAAATTACAAGCCATCTTGTAAGCTTACAGAAACAGAAAAAATGCTATATGGCTGCTGATATGAAGCTTGCAGTGGACAAGGTTGTTGTAAATGCTCAATGGCATGTTCATGGATACGGTAATATCGCATCAATAATACGATAATGTCACATTAATAATATGGTAATTAATGTAATGGCAATATCATATCAATACAGGAAAAACAAGTAAAAATCACAGAAAATGTCATTTTTTCTACCTCTACATCATCTACAATGAAATTGGATGACTTCAGAGTACTGTTAGTAATGGATGAGTACGCTCTGCATGCTTCAAATATTTTAAAATGAAGTTTTATTCCCAGTGTCCCGAGTAGCCCCATTAGACGGGGCTACTCAGGACACTCTTTTTTTGCTTCTGGCCCCTTACGAATAGCATATAGAATTTTTTTGAAGATGCCATTCGATAGCCCTCGCAAAGAGCTATAAAATGAGCCTAAACTTGTTTATGAAATGTTTCATGGTAAGAAGTTATTAACAAAAAATGCTCAAAACCATCCCATATTACCCCATTTGACTGTTCCCTCTGCATGCTTCAAATGTTTTGTAATTAAGTTTTATTTCAAGTGTCCCAAATTAACCCGTTCCCATGGGTTATTTTGGACCTATTTTTTGCTTCTGGCCCCTTACAAATAGCATTTGGAATTTTTGCTGAGATGCCATAGGATAGCCCTGGCAAAGATGTTCAAAATGAAATGTTTCATGGTAACAAGTTGGTTATCAATAAAAAATGAAAAAGTGTCCCTTATTACCCTGTTTGCTGGTACCTATTATAGCTAGCATTGTGGAATCAAATGTTACTGCAACACTTAAAGGAATGAAATCACAATCTGACCAAAAAGGAAAACTTGTGTTTGTTTTTTGACCTAATCTCTGAAATCCTAAACTAAAGCATGAATAACAGTTCTTACAGTCTTAGGTTTGTTGCAACCTAAAAAATGTGATAATACTAAAAATGATGCATTGTATTTTGCAGGCACCTCTAATTTTTCTTACCTAAATTGTACCTAAAACAGTTGAGCAAGTTCTTATAATGCTTTCTTTTCTCTATGGGCTGAGCAATAATGCCAAGCTCAGTACCATGGCTGTTTTAGCTGGAGTGAGTTGTAGCTTGTACCTGCTGCTGAAAAAGGTTAGTAGCTATTTTTACATATATTTTTTCAGTATTAATTTTCCAAGAGAATTTTAATATTCTGATTTTGATATAAAATATCTATTTTTTGCATATCATTTTCTGTGTTCAATTGACAGGAGCTTTCAAACTGAAAGATTTGACAAAAGTACTCCACAAAGGAGGCAAAAACTCCCTTCCTCAATTATACCTATCCCTCTTTAATAATGTGTTCAGTAAAAACTAAGAAAAATAGCACATTTCGGCCTGCAATTTTCAAAAATCTCTTGTGAAATAATCCTTTTTATTGGTGATGGTTTGGAAATTCTAACAAAATATTCAATATTGACTACAGCAGTACAGCTCAGAATGATTGAACCCTGTGGTTCTGAGTAGAAGAGAACACATTTTTTAATAAAATATTTGCTTCTCTGCAGTTTAACAGTAGCTAAAAGTTTTTTGTCTGCTTGTTTCTTGACATGAAAGATGCCATAATAACCAACTTTTAAAGAATCTGGGGTTATACTAGAATGGCCAAGCTTATAATTTTTTCTGGAAGTACCCAGGTACTGTCAAAATGTTCATGAAACCTATTAGGAGAAAAAATTTAATATATTAAGAGCTAATTTTATTTCAACTAATATTTTTCCAGAAATAAACTTGGCTATCCTGACCTGACATAACATCAGATTCTTAAAAAGCTTGTTTTTGGGATCAAGAAACCAATATTTAATATTGGGCTAAAATCTCCAAAAGTCACAGGAAGAAACAACAATTTCACAAGTTTCCATTCATTTGGTGTCCTTGATGCAGCAAGGATAGTCTAGTATCATTCTTTTGCACTTTTTTCAAAAATTTCCAAACATATACTGTATAAACCATTGCCAAGCTTCACAAAGCCACAAAGCATCTTGTTATCTTGGTACTGTAGACAAAGGTTTGTTTGCTTACTAGAGAATTTCCTAAAATGTTTTCTAACATCTCAACAGTGGGACTCAGACTGGTGCTGTGTGACCATTGAAGTTCCAAAAGAGGCTGCTGGACGAGTGATTGGGCGCAAAGGAGCTAACATCAAAATAATAGAAGCAAAGTCACAGACAAGCATCCAGTTAAAACACACCAGTAAGTTTAACCTATAGCTTTAAGGTACAATTAATTAATTTAATGGCTAATTTGTGCTTCTTTAGTGTCTAAATAAATTTGACCTTCGGTATTTCTGACATCTGCTATATATCTTTTAATCAAAGGGCAATGCAGAAAATTGAATCGTAGATTTAATCTTCTGACATAAATTACGTAATCATGTTGGTGATGTACGGTAGTCAGTCAATGTCCACTGAGGCTAGGAGGTAGATAGAATAAAAAGTGAGCGTAGCTGCAAAGGCAGCCTCTTCCATGGGAAATGGCTGACTGGATTGTCTCAGCAGAGAAGAGACAAGGAGGTGCCATGAGAAAGAGAGGACAGGCAAAGTGTTGTTGGCTGGATTGGAGGAAATTATTCTTTTTAGCGCATTTTCTCATTTATGGAAAAAAAGGTGCTATTGTGCTCGTCATGTCCGTTTGTCTGTCTGTTTGTCTGTGAGTGACTTCATGTTTTCGTTGATGAGAAAATGTGCTCACAGTCACTCACTGCAGTGAGTACCTACTGAGTTAGGTATATTTTTCTACATCAACTGAAGTGTAGGGATTTTTTTTCCTGTTTTTTAATATATGCAATTAATTTTTAATTTCAACAGAGACAGCTGTGGGAAAATGTCAGTGCACAATTCGTGGCTCCCTGGATGCTGTCAGTTTTGCTCGCAGTCTTCTTGAACACACCATTGAGTCAGCATCTTGCAACTCAATTGTACAGAACATGATTGTGCCCAGTGCTGTTGTTGGAGGCATTCTTGGGACCAAAGGCCAGAATATAAAGGAACTGATACAGCACACCGGTGTTCACATTAAAGTTGAACCCAAATCTTCTGACCCTGCTCAGATTTGTAAGATGATCCTATTATACTTGGCACTTTGTCTCCAGTCTTACACTCGCAGTCATAGCAATTAGTGCTCAAGGTCTTTGGATCAACCTATTCTATTTATAATGGCATAGTTGAATAATAACTTTTAATATAGTTTTGTTGATATGGGATGAAGCCAGGAATAAATTGTTGAATTTTTTAAAGTTTAATTTTAATTTTCAGCTCGTGAAATATCCATCAGAGGAAGCAAGGAAGGAGTGGCAGCTTGTGTTAATGTCATCACTGATAAAGTGAAGCATCTTCTGCAGAGAGAACTAACTACCACCAAGAACAACCGATCAAAGTCAACAGTAAATTCAAGGATAATTTTGTTTATACATAAATTTTCCTCTTAAATGGAATTTTTACCCAACTTGAATCTCACTGTTGCTACCATTTCTATTTATATAGGTACTTCCTCTCTTCTAATCATATTTTATTTAGCAAAAACAAAAAATTCTAATGATTAGGTTGATACCGCAAAGTCTAAAATTATTTACTAAACCTACAACATCCTAATTTATGGTAAAAATCACTAGGTACTGTATTACAAAGCTGTATTTTTGCAGGCCAACAAATGTGTGCCCAGCTCAAGGCCTGATGCCTTGCAATACTCAGCTAGTGAAGTGAGAGTATGTGCCACTGCCTCGCCCATCACGCTCTACCTCCAGGTTGGTCGTGTAAATTAATAGTGGCTAACAAGTGACTTTATTTGCCAGTTTCTCCTTTTATTTCCTGATTAACTTCATGATTTCATCAATATCTTATCTAGGAAAAGGGTGGTTCCTATTATACTTACTGGTCTACTTATATATAAACCTCTACCGCCATACCTATGTCACTCTTCAGGAACATAACTTTCAACTTCAATTATACGTATAATATTGAGTGTAGCTGTAGCAACCTGAGGACGTTTGTACGCATCAGAGAATATTTTAAAGTTGTCGTACGTAGCCTCAACCATCAGTGCCAGTCATTTTGTGCTCTCTAGAACGTATCCTTTTTGGAAAGTAAGCTTATGACAATATTGCTCCGGTTACTCATGTCAGGCGGTCGAGCGTTAAGTGGAAATGAAATGAAAAACGTTGGTAATTTGCCACAATGTTAAATGTATAAAACAACCTGTGTACCTAGCTGCATCATGATACTTCTAAAGCTGCGGTTCACAAAACCTTGTTGATCTATTATAAGACATGGCATAACAAACATGAAGCCCTTGTCTAAAATAATGTCTGCATTGAGATTTATTCCTGAAGATAGGTGTACAAGATATTATACATACTTCCATTGCCCCATAAAAGGAATTATCACTTTAATGGCAGTTGACTGAAATTGAGAACATTTGTTCTAAAAAGATGACTTTATATAGTCCTGTGTCAGGGACCTCTACTAATGAAATAAATATTTTCTCCTTAAAAACAACTTATATACTCCTTGCCGACTGACTTTCTTTATTTTATTTTTTTTTTTGTGCCAGATTGGATACGTATATCTACGACGTTCATATGTAAAATTATTATTGATGCTTTCTCATTAGAATTTTGTGGCTTAATTAGTCAACTGTTAGTTCTTCAAGGTTGGAGTGCTACAATTTTGGTGCATCCTTACTTCACCAAGTCCAAGTTAAAATGCTTGCTGGAATTAAAGATATAATTTACTATCCTTCGCAATGTTGGTAGGAACCTATTTTCATTTATTTATTTGTTTTGACTACTACTGAAATAAGTGCTGCACTACTGAAGACACTACTGAAATAAGTGCTGCATGTTGATGGCTAAAGATAGCATGAAATTAGCTTATAAGTTCTTCCATCCATTGACAGTACGTCGACAGCATGAAATTAGCTTATAAGTTCTTCCATCCATTGACAGTACGTGGGCAACAAGTCAGCAGAGCTGGACGACATGATCGTGGCGATGTCTTCTTACTACAGCGACCCTGACACTCAGACCTCCATGGCTCTGACACGTGCATGCGTCGGGGACATGGTGGCTGTGCGCTGCTCTCAGGATTTGTGGTACAGAGCTCAAGTTTTGAGAGCTGGAGAACGTTATCTTGATAAAGTGGCATCTCTAGTTCCTGCATTTAATTTAACTGAAAGTAAATATTACAAAGTCGAAGCAGAAATTTCTGCCTCTTCCCAAAACAAGGTACATTGCGAGAATTCGTGTGAAAATTTGCATGAAAATCAACTCGTATCACATGTTCCCTTAAATCATCATAACGATCACAATGGAGCTGATGCAGTGTCAGAAGAGATAAGTGAGGAAAATCTGTTCGTGATGCCACCAGTCCATGTATCAACTTGTACTGCTAACTCCATCTCATCCAAAATAAGTTTTGAGAACAAAAAAGCGTTGACTAGAAGCACTGTACCCAGTCAACCTTCAAGCCAAATTCCTGCTGAAAACGGCAATCTACCTGACATTCCTGGACCAAATTCAGTGCACAAAGAAAATTCCTCTGGCAAGCCGTGCTTGTACCTCGTGTTTCTGGTTGATTACGGGGACTTTCTCTCTCGCTCCTTGAACGACATGTGTGAACTGAGAACCGATTTCTTACGCCTTAGCCACCAAGCCTTCAAAGTGCAGCTCGCCGACGTGGCCCCCATGTGAGATACACTCATAGCTTTCTAATGATCATAAGTTGCCTGGTTGAGCCTAAATTTATTATTTATTCCGCAGAATATGTTATCTCCTTTCTAATTAAATTAGAATATCTGTTATAGGTATCTATAAGATAAAAAAATTAATAATTTTAAATTGACAACCTTTTGAATAAAACTTCTTGTTTTTTTAAACACTTTACATGTGGCTAAGATAACTGCATGTAAGGTTTTAAAATATATATACCTGGTAAACTATCAAGGTTTAATCTTCTTGATTATCAAAGTTTTTATAATCCTATAACAAGTTTATCAAAAACTTATTTATCAAGTTTTAATCTTATTCTCGCTCTAATTTTACTTCTATTGCAGACCCAGCGAACGCGCCGCTGCAGAATTTGCACTCTCCCAGCTGTCACAAACTTCTTTTCCTGACGTAGTGACAGCCAAGGTCGTTGGCTACAGACACAAGAATGTCCAATCTTTATCCAACGGCCACGTCAATGGATCCGTTACCTCCAAGACCAACTCAGTTCTTCCTCACAAGGACCCATCCTTGAATGAAGGTTGCCGTGAGCAGCTACAATACACTCTAGAGCAGTTGAAACCTGTACTGACTAAGCATGGAGTTCCTGATGCTCAGAACTTGCTTCCTTGCGAGGTATTGGATTTTGTTGCAAACGACGGCTTGGATTATTTGCAACAAACCGAAAACGCGATTGTTTTGATGGAATCTGAATTGTACTACTTTGAGAAACTGCTGAATAACTACAAAATTCATTCAAAAAATCTGACAACAAATAATGGGAACGACGAAAATTGTGTTTCAGAAACCTCTCAAAATGAAATTGAAGAAGACAACAAAATCCTGAAAATTCTATGGAAGGACATTACAGAGGCTGGTAGTTCTGCTAACCGCTGGAACAACCTAGACCAATTTATCTGGTCTGATGTACGATCAATGCTACAAGAAGAGGCCATTTTATCAAACGATACAAAACTTACCGAAGCTGAAACCTTAAAACTGAAATCTGATATTTCTTCTCGCGAAAAATCTCTAAATGAGCTACGATGGCAGGACTTTCTTCTTAGGTCTGTCGAGCGACTCGCCTTTGGCATGACTAACGACAATGAACGATATGACGAACCCGTACCACTTGTTCGGCTTTGCTACAAGACTGGGCAGAAGGTGAGAGCATCCTGTGATCTGATGCCTTGAATTAAGCATTCTAGCAGGAAATCTTTAGTCGGAAGGTTCTTTCAAATTTTGTTTCACTTTGTTTGTTATCAATAATTTTGCTTTCTTAAGTTAACATAACTCCTTGAAGGATTTAGTGTATTGCGTGTTGAATGTTTCAGAATTGTACTGTTTTTTTTTTACCGTTTCAGAATTGTTTTGTAGATTTGAGTTTATGAAGATATTTTCAATGATTAGCAAATCAACGTCTAAATTCAATGGTCTAGGAATCGGCCTTTCGTGTGGATGACTTATCTCATGTACTGCTTATGTTCCGGTCTCTTATATCTAGATAGATTTTTGTTTTATAAGCCGATAATGCATTAAATCTAATGATGGTGCTTCAAATCTCAGGAGTTGGACGTGGCAAGCGCACTCTTGAGGAAAGGCAAACTTCGTGCCTGCTGAAGTTCGCGCCTGCTGCAGTTCGTGCCCGCAGCACCTTGTGCTGTAACTTCGTAATCTTATGATCTTCGAGTTTGCGAGAAATTGCTTCTCCTGTGAATTTATTCACTTTGTTTGTTATCAATAATTTTGCTTTCTTAAGTTAACATAACTCCTTGAAGGATTTAGTGCTACGATCTAAATTTATTTTGCGTACTTAACGTTTCGGAATTGTCTACTTCTCATTATGCATCCTTGTTTTGAACATCTGAGTTTATGAAAATATTTTACAATGATTTGAAAATCAACGTTTAACTTCGATTGATTTATCAAATTAGGAATCAGTCTCTCATGTTCATGTCTCATCTTGTGTACTGCTTATGTTCATGTCTCTTATATTTGGCTTAATTTTTATGTTTTATAAGCTGATAAGGTATTAAATCTAATGATGGTGCTTCATATCTCAGGAGTTGGACGTGGCAGACGCACTCTTGAGGAAAGGCAAGCTTCGTGCCTGCTGAAGTTCGCGCCTGCTGCAGTTCGTGCCCGCAGCACCTTCTGCCGTAACTTCGTAATCTTATGATCTTCGAGTTTGCTAGAATTTTTTTTTATTTTATTTTGCACGCGATCTAATTTATTGTAGGGCTAATGTGCAGTGCCTTCCAGCGTGCTCTTAATGGAACTCTACCTTCCTATTTATTTTTATTTTATTCATAAAACAGAAAAGGGGAATTTTCAGTTGATAAAAGAAGTAGGTAAATATTGTAATTTTGTTAGGAAGATTAGATCATACTATTTTTTGGAATTGTATTTAGTTTTAGTTGTTCATGTTAAATGGTTTAAGATTTCGAACCAGTTAATAACATTGAAGTTAGTGGAATGCTTGGGTAAATTAAGGTATTATTATGTTCGTTTATAGTCAACTGCCAGGGACAGCTATACATTTTATTTTACTATTAGTTCAAACAATTTATTTTTCACGATGTAGTTAGTGGAATGCTTGGGTAAATTAAGGTATTATTATGTTCGTTTATAGTCAATTGCCAGGTACAGCAATACATTTTATTTTACTATTAGTTCAAACAATTTCTTTTTCACGATGTAGTGTGAATATGGAAGAGGCCAAACTAAGAGCTTTATTTTGATGTAGTGTATAAGGAATGTTAAATGGTATGAAACTTTTATTTAATTACCTTTATTTTGTCTTCAATCTGGAATATTATTTCAATATTTGTAATCATAAGGTGGAAAAATGTATATGGTACAATCATTAATTTGAATCTTGAATATTCATAATCGTTATATATTTGTGATTATAATATTAAGAGATGCTTAGTGCACAACCATTAACTTTAATCTGGAACATTATTTCAATATTTGTGATCATAATATTAGGAGATATTAGTGCTTAAGTGTCCGGTGCTGTCCAAATCTTCTCATCGGCTGTGGCTTGCGTGACTGATGAAGAATTTTTAAAATTAAATTCAATCCGTTTATTCATCTCTTGAGTTTCTCACTGTAACAGTTTTTCTGTATTGCCCGCGTCAGTTTATGCTTTAGCTTCACAAAAGTCGCACAATGTATGCCGTCGGAACTTCAAATTTACTTGAAAGTCTTTGCTTTGCTAAACAATTTTATCCTTGATATTTTGTCTATTTTTATTTGAAATATTAAGTTACTATCAAAAAAAGTCAATACTCTCAAAATACTTACTGTTGGTGCGAAAATTACTATTCCATTTTACTAATCCTTTTCCATTGTTTCTTATTTGAGGATTCTATGATAAGCTCTAAAACTAGGAAATATGTTTATGGGCTCTCGACGTCACGTTATGGATGCTTTTTGGCTACTTGCTAATTAGGATGAGAACATTTGTGCTCAAGTTTAATTTCTCAGATCACCGGATCAATATTTGAAATTGACCAAATTCCGAAATTTATCACCGTCTTGTAGCACAATATCAAGTGCATGATTTTCCCACCTACCTGTAGTCATTTTCATACCAGTTAAAGAATATCTAGACTTCGTTTGTTTATTACTGGGGCGGCTGTAGTTGTTCCGTTGTCAGTCACCGGGTAGAACAGGTTATTGAATACAAGTGCCTTGAGATTATACTGATAAATAGACGTAAATCACCTATTAAATGCCACTTATAATGTAAGTTTTCAGTGCGGCTGGAATTTCTGAAAGATGCTTTAAGTATACCAAACTCTGATATTGTAAACGATTGCAATAATATTATATTATGTACCTAAGAACAAATCTGACATCTGTAACGCTTCCATTTTTGAAATATGCATAGGATTATGTAAAATTGTGATCCGTGTAGCGATTAATCTTCATATAAAGAGGATGATTGTAACTCTGAATTATGTATGACAAGGTAGTAGTAAAATGGATTTATGTTCACATTGTGTTGATTAAAACGTCATTGGCAAAAAGTCACAAGTTGCAGTAACTTGTTAGATATGAATGAAAATTAGTCACAAACTTGATTTATATTGCAGCTTTACTTGCGTATCTTCATTAGTCTGCATAATGTCATAATTAAATGTTAGCTAATTTAGTTAATCACACAAATAACTAAAAATGGATCCACTTAGAGAAATCAGCATTTTTTTTGTACCATTAGTGTTGTACTTTTTAATAGGATTAGTGCATCAAGCCGCTATATGCTTATAGATTTAATAACATACCCGATGAAGGTGCTATAAAGCTTGTCGTGGAGCACTGGTATAGAAGTTGAATAGAACAAATTTCTGTGTTAATAGTTTAAAGCTTTGAAGTTATTAATCGCAGCTTACTACTGCTTTGCTCTTGGTGCCTATTTATCATTCCATGTAATACAGCAACAAATTCCGCTGCTGCTTTTTCGTCTGTTTTTTTTTTTCATTAGACTAGAACTTGTATAGATGCTTCAATAAGTCTGCTACGTAGTACCTCGGAATTATCGAAGATAATTTACCTTAAATTTCTTCCAATTATGATTTGCTTCAATTTGTTCACATATTTGTGTTCCCGTTTGGTTTAAATTTATTCTCTACTCATGGTTCATGCTTTAACGTTCGTTGAGATGTGCAATTGCCAGACTCAAGAGCGGTATTTTTGGGGTAACATGGAAGGATACTCATGATGGTAATAGTCGTGGTATCTATTACCCGTGGTGCCTGGTATCTATTACCCGTGGTGCCTGGTATCTATTACCCGTGGTGCCTGGTATCTATTACCCGTGGTGCCTGGTATCTATTACCCCTGTCTCTTATACACATCTAGATGTGTATAAGAGACAGCTACTACCCGTGGTGCCTGGTATCTACTACCCGTGGTGCCTGGTATCTACTACCCGTGGTGCCTGGTATCTACTACCCGTGGTGCCTGGTATCTATTACCCGTGGTGCCTGGTATCTACTACCCGTGGTGCCTGGTATCTATTACCCGTGGTGCCTGGTATCTATTACTCAAGGTGCCTGGTATCTATTACGTGTGGTATCTACTGCCTACTCTTGTTTCCATACCTAATTATAGTCATATAGTTACCGCACGTCAAGGGTGTGATACGCTGGTAGATTTTGTGAATAATTAAACTAATTTTTTCTTTGATCTCTTTTCTTAACTCTGGAAGATAGTTTTAGTTCTCATCAGTGACGTATATTGAATAACGCCACTAAATACGTCATGATGAGACTGAAGCAACGCAGCTAACAGGGTAACTTAAGAAATATATCTCATTCTTTGTTGCAAACTTGTATTTATTACTTCACACATGAGCTGATGTGTGTGAATTTTTGTTTTCGTATTCAATCGCCTAGCAGTTCATTAAAATGATGTAAAATGTATTTTTTGGTGTTAGGGCCAGATTTACATTGTTAATGATTCTCAGTTTTTGGTTCTGGTATAGAAACCGAATAAGGGATTAAGAATTCTACCAATTTATTGTGAATTTTATTTTTTGGGGATTTATGCATTTTCAAAGCGTTTACACGTTAGTTGGAAGATATATATGCCTAATTCTTGTTGTTACTGTATTATTATTAAAACGAGTTTCATGGGAATGGATTCGCGTCGGGTGATTACTGTAAATTTGAAGTTTTTGTGATGAAAGTTTCTAAGCTATAATTTGTGAAATGCTTAACAAGCATTCAAAGAAGACGTAAAATGGACCACTGCCTGTACAAAAATATGAGTTCCTGACCAAGAATGTCCGTTTGTGTAGATTGGCTTGCCTTTCTGCTAATATGCATAGTTTTGTGCCAATTTTCCCATGATTCTGTTCTGAAACAAAAATCTACATAATCGATGATCGATTTTTCTTTCATTTAAACGATTATCTTTTTAATTTTTCAGCTTTTGCTGAACTTGTTTCCTTTTGCTTTAATTTTATTTGTTCTGTGAATGGCATCAATGCTTGAATCTCAATATAAATCATATCATGAGCGAAATTCATCCCTTCACCTTCATGTTTTAACTGTAACACTACTTACTGTATACAACAGTTTTTTTGCGTTCAATGACCAAGCATGTAAAACCTAACGCATGATTTTTGATTCTCAGTGACTCGTGGTCTTGATAATTCAATTGAAAAGCAGACTTGTCAATTCTTGATAAGCCTCCTTACCAGTTTGCCATAGAAATCCTAAATGTTGTTCTTTGCTCTTTACCATGCAGTAGCTAAAGTTTTGGTTGCTTGACGACGAGTTAACAATATCGGCCTCTCCTCTCTTGCTGATCTCTTCCCTTTTCTTCGAGTCGTTCCCTCCGTATTTGTTCGTATTATGCGATATACATTTTACGTTTTTGACTTTAGTGCAATTATCTGTTGCGTTTCCCTGAGGATGTAATCAATTATTTCTGAGAGCAATAAACCATCAAAGGTTGATCTTGCTTTTCTTTCCTTACTTGCGTATCTTCTGATGCTTTACAGAGCTCTAGTCGTGATGCATTTAAGCATTATTATGGGGGCTTAGCATTATTATAATTTAAGCATTATGGTAAAATATTAACTGTATTGTTAGCTTCGTTCTGAATCTCTACGAAAATTCTGCCTCGAGTATCAACAGAGATTTCATATCACTGAAAAGTGAAAACGTCCTGTAACGCCTCAGCATATCGTCAGATCAAATATCAACATTTCTGTTCTGGATAATGACACGATATAATCAAGCTTTTGAGCGAGTTGTATTTATTCTTCTATAAATAGTTTGTACAAAAAGCTTACTTGTGTAGAAAATGGGCATTATGTTCTTAGATAAAAAGTAGCCGTTCATCATTTTATGATGCTTTTTATCAATTTATTTCTTGGCAGCCCCCGCAGTCAAGTGGGTTCAGTTCTTATGACCTAATAAACATGCAATATAATAATTATATTCAGCAGTTAAAGCTATGGTAGACACTGCAGAATCTTACACAGGAACAATATTCGCACAGATAGTCGAGCGAAATAATCTTGACCGTATTTACATTGTAGGTATAGTATGGAAATCTAGCACTGAGAAACAAATTTATGTCAGCCAGTCGGAAGTTCCTTTCAGAATAGAGCATTGCCGAAATTAGATCTTAGTAGATGCATTTATTTTGAGTCATATTATTACTTGAACATTAGCACAAACTTCCATTGATCTATCTACATAGTTATATAATCCGACCGAAGCAAAGATGTCAGAAGACAATTTGTTCAAACTACGAGCTGACATAATTCCTTACGTGCCATTTACCTACAAGTCTTACTTTTCGCAAGAGTTCTTCTAAAAAATAAATAACAATAGCGTTGTGCTTTTTAAACCGTATATTGGCACTGTATCACCGCACCGTTTGTTCAACGCAAAGCATTGGCACTGTAAATAACTTCGCTGCATAAATTAGGAGAACGTAATTAGGAATGAAGTAAAAAAAAGTGTTCCCATACACGCATAACATTGTGTACCTTAAAAAGGCCTGACTTTGAAGAAAATTCAGTCAATGCAAGAAATTGGGTTCAAATTAAAAGAAATATGCAGCGTGGGGGGCCAGAGGGGTGTCCTTTCCTTTGATCTCATCGAAGTCGAGTTGAATTGCCGGCTGCAACGTTAATTGTGAAACAGGTCGCGAAGTCACACCTTCGTTGCCAAAATTATTCACTGATGGCGTTACGTTCTTATTTTTCTCTCTCAGGTTGTTCGTAGAACTTCTTACCAGATAAAGTTTCTCCCCCGTATCAGTGTTTTCTACAGCCTCCATGACCATTTCTAGGGCTCCTAGCACGTTATCAACTCCGAATAACTTTAGGACGTTGTCATCTTGTTTAGGCGTTGGTGGTTGTAGTGGAGGAAGGGCTTGAAACTGATGCCTCTGGGAAGACGCCATTTCATATTGGAAAGGACTAGATTGCTCCTGGAAATGATGTCGTTGCTGGGTTGTGGAGTGAACTTGGTTTGCTTGTTTCACAAGAGACAAATGAGATCGTTGTTGCTGTGGAAACGATTCGGGGTAAGATTTTTCGTTTTGTTGTGATCGTCCTCCAGAACCTTTCAGTTGTGTCGGGGTGGACGGAACGTAGTGATTGCCTTCCAGACGCAATGGTCTAAACTGGCTCGGACTTTCTGATGCTGAAATTGAACTATCGGCGACATTTCTTTTGTTGTCCGCGATGGATTTCATTGCAAGATATGGAACTAACTCTGGGTGATAATATGATACCCATTCTTCCCAATCTTTTTCACTATATTCTCTGTCATTTTTTACGTAATGCTGATTGCGAACAGCACGAGCATAAGCGCCTATAAGCGAGTGTAGGTCATCGATACCAACTGGAATTCCATCGTCATAATAATCGTCCGCAAAACTAACTCCTCCCAGAACTCTGATGTCGTTTGAAGCTCTTGAACGTTGATTGTAGGGCTCTGCAGCCGCCCATGCAAATGAGCCAGGGTTATTGTTATGATCATTTCTTGAGGCATAAGGCCGAGGAAAGTTATCTTCTCGAGCAGTCTCTCTGAACGTATTTACTTCTTTTTTGAGACCAGTGGAAGTGGACGAGCGCTGGTACCTGAATTGTCTCTCCTTCTGCTGCGTTTCAGAATTAGCCGATTCAGTTCTGAAATTTTCTGATTTGGTTTGTAATTTATGTTTGGTTGTTGTATCTGATGAATTTGATGTTCGCCTGAAACGCGAGTTAGGCAAAGGCTCTACTATTGCAGCTTTTGAAAGCGTTCCTAAACTGTCAGAGGATTTTATCAAATTTGTTGATGTTAAATGCACTTGTTTTTCGAGATCCTCTTTCCGAAGTTTTTGAGTTGGCTTTGAGATCGAAGGTTGAATTTGCGTCTGAAGACTTTTTAATTCATCAGCAATACGGAACCCATAAAGAGGAGCGTTTGGGATCCAATCGTTGTTTCCGTAGTCTGGCTTAATTTTACTAAAAGGCGTAGGCTGTGCTTTGACATTGAGATTATTGCTTGATGAAGTTTGCAGCCTAACTGATCGCTCGGTACTCTCATCTTCCAGAGGCAGATTTACTTGGAATGCTGAACTCCTCAACACATCTAACGGTCTCGTGACATTAGGAAGGGGTGGTGAAGTTTGGACTTCAATTTTATTCATGTTTTGCCTCAGAAATTCGATAAACTTTTCTTCTCGTGTCATTTCGTCTAAAGCCTCTTTCTCTACACTAGCTTTATATTTGTTGGATTCATTTGAAGTGGTCTTATATGGAGGCTCAGTAGTCTTCTTATGAGGTTTGCGAACAGATTTATTCTTTTTGTACTCGGTACTTGCTGTACTGCCGGATTTTTCTGAAGAATATCTCAAAGCACTTGCTTTTAATATTTCTTCTTTGGCTTCTTCGAAGCCCAGATACTTTTTTGGATTTTTATTTGGCAGAGGAAGAGGTGTGTGGAACGATGCGTCATCGAAATGTTCTATTGACGAAGAATGCTGTTTGTGAGGATGATTCAAATGGCGGTGCTCATGCTCAGAGGAGAAGCGGAAGAATGAAGAATGGAGAGCCTCCGAGGAAAAACTGGGCCGGTGGTGATGTGCGTGATGATGTGCTTGATGATGTGCGTCGTGATGTTCGTTTGAGTGTTCGGGTGATTTATTAAAATCATGGAACTCATGAGAGTTATGCTTTTGGTGCTCATGTGATTTATGGTGCTCATGTGATTTGTGGTGCTCAAGTGATTTATGGTAATTATGACCATGCGACTCGTGGATGTCATAGTTCTCATGTGGTTGATAGATATCTTTATGTTTGGGGGCTTTGTAGAAATCGTCGAGATCGTGATACATTGGGTGATTGTTATTGTGTGATTTATCGTCCTGATGATAGGCTTTAAAACTATGTTTATGAGGTGCTTTGTATTTTTCATGATGATATGTACCCTGGAACGACGAAGAGTATGACGGAGAGTAAGAATGTTGAGGCTGCTTGTCTGGGTACAGAGGACGTCCCGTGTATCCACCTGCGGAGGGCCGATACTTGGTTTTCGGGATTTTCACGACCTTATAACCAGTCGGAATATAGTTAGGACTTGACCCATATGCGTTATTACCGAACATAGAGCGGAAGAAACTGCTGAAATAGCCATCGTTGCCTTGATTCGCCCTGACGTAAGACGCGGGACGGTGGCCGTAAGGTCTTTGGCCATAGCCTCCTGAACTTGAAAGAGGTGTGCCACGCACCACTTTTACTGTGGGAGCATTGCTGTACGATGGAGCGTATGGATAGGATCCTTGAGATGCCGTCACAATCTTGAATTTTCCCTTAATTGGAACGTAAACTTGAGGCTCCGCTCCGGATGCCAAACCTCTCAGCAAGGCCGTGACCAACAGGATTCGCGTCCCGATGCATTGACGAGCGCCCTGTAACCATAAATTTGCATGAGAATTTTTTCTGCACAGATTATGTTTAATCTTCATTTCATATATCTTCAGACACATATCTGCCTACAGAAATTGGGGTCAATTTAAATAGCGATTCTGTAACATGAGCAAGAAACTTGAAGATAGTAGATTACTAGATTAGTATAAACAACATAAATGTTATTGATCGCCTGATTTCCATTTTGATGCCTTGAAAATGTACAGTAGTGTCCAAAGCTTTTGCCGTATGTAATATTTTTTTTGGATTAATAAATTATGAGGCATGAAATAAAATCAGGAAACCCCAAATATTTAATTTTTAACTTTACCATAAAATAAAACATTAAAGAGAACGAAATCTTACACGAAAAATTTGAAATATGGCAAATTTCCCGAAGGTGATTATTTTTCAGTGCTGACCTATATTACTATTAGAACCTCAAATATTCTCTAAGGTATGCTAGAAATCAAATTCTGAATGATGTTTATATTAATAGAGTTCAATTCACGTAAGTTCTGTAAGTCCTTTGTAGAAGTTCGCTTGTTTTACTCTTGTGTTTGCCCTCTGTTTAAGAATGGCCTATAAATTATCAATTGGGGTAAAATCTGGGGAATTTCCAGGTCTTGGTGTCAATTTTTCGATGCCAATATCTTTTAGAAGCTTTATGATATCACTGACTCTATGACGAAGAGCTCCTTTGTGCTGGAAAATGTAATTTTGCTCGGGAAACTGTTTGTCAACTGAGGGAATTAATCAACTCTTCGATCAGAACTTTTTCGTACCAAACTGCATTCGTTGCAGTGTTTGTGGGAAGGATATGAAGTGCTTCTGTTCCCTGAACTAAGAAGCATCTCAAATTATGGACAGTGCCTGAAGGCTTCACCTTGGGCGCGATGTAATCATGTCATTCACAGGGAAATGCAACCGTGAAATTCCCTAGATTTGACCCTATTGATAAGTTATAGGTCATTCTCAAACAGAAATGCAACCGTGAAATTCCCTAGATTTGATCCTATTGATAAGTTATAGGTCATTCTCAAACAGAGGGCAAACACAAGAGGAAACACAAGCGAACTTCTACAGAGGACTTAGAGGACTTACATGAATTGAATTCTATTGATATAAACATCATTCAGAATTTGATTTCCAGCATACCTAAGAGAATAGGAGAAGTTCTTCGTAGTATAGGGTCTATCACTGCAAATATTAATACCTTTGGGAGATTTGCCATATTTCGAATTTTTCGTGTAAGTTTTCGTTCTTGAAAAAATATCACAGGCGACAAAAGTTTTGGCCCATACTGCAAACAGAAAGTCACTTTTTGACTTTTGCCTATGATATAGGAAAGAGAGAAAAATGCGAAGTAGACTCGTTATTCTACTCCTCAACCACAATAAGCTATGGACTTGCGATTTATTTCGTCCGCTTCTCACGTACTGGTCAATAGTTTCTTTACCTAAACTTGCGAATATTACTTGCGAGATGATGTTATGCTGAACTTATTAGGAAGGCAGTTTTAAATCTAGTTTAGGATCCTGCAAGACAGTTTTATGCGTGTTAAAACATAGTCTGGTTAAAATTTTGGAATCCCCTCATTTCATAGACATCAGTTACATGTTTAAAAATAACCTTTAAAGAACCCAAAAAAACGGCAATCAATTGTCAATGAAATTTTAAAGAAATGAAGTTTTGTTATTTGAATGCAGAATTCTCAAATTTAAAATTATACTTTTTTAAGAATTCGCAGTGTGTTTGGACGGGGAGTTAAAATTTGGCCAAAGCCTGGAAATTTTATGACGGGGTTGCATTGGATTATGTAAGAAGGTATAACACAGTTGCAACATCGCATACTGCTAGAACTCTAACAATATTTTTAAACGGGGATCGAACATTTGTTCCATGTCAAGTTTGTTAAAAATAACTTTAACTAAAATTACTGCAGAGACCGTGAATAACATATCCTGTAAAGATATTTTTGCTAAATAATGCAAGGCCTAGTTTAAAATGTATGTCAAAAATGTAATTAACAAAGTTTTATCATTCCTTTTAAACGAAAAGGTATGTCTGGAGCTTGGGTACGACCGTGTCCTCATTATTTGGCTGCCATTAGGCCAAATAATGAGGCCACTAATAACACTGTTTCATTAACACTTTGGAAACGCCGAGTGGTCACCGAAATTTAAAAAGAACAAAAATTTAGTCGAGAGCGTTCAAAGACGTGCAAGAAGGATAATTCCAGGATAAATTAAAGGGCAAGTATTATGAAGAAATATAAAGCTTCAATGAAGCCTTCGAGTCTTTGTTATAGACGTGTACGTGGCAACATCTTCGAAGTATTTATGTAGGCTACACCCATGGAGATGGATTCTACAAGATTAGAATTACTAGAGGATAAAAGAACAAGAATAACAAAAGGGGTCGCGGCCATAAACTAAAAAAACTTCGCTGCAACTTATCCATGTTACAACACTTCTCGGTTCCAGTCACAGGTATGTGGAACAAACTCCGCTACATTCGTCAGCGCTCCCACAGAAATGCGCACAAGAACAGACTGGATGAAGCAATGCAGGAGTATATATTTTGGCTAGAAGTGCCTCCCATCTCACAATGTTCAGCAGCTTCGATGTCAATATTATTTAGCTTCGACGTCAATTTTGGATATAACAGCAGGTCAAAAGGCCAGTACTTTAAGAAACACGTCAAGAGCATTTTAAAAATTGGTGACAGTACAATCCAGCCTATTCTTCAACGCAGATATTTCTACGTAACGCTATATTATTGGCTCCATGGCACAAATGTGCCAAACGGAGACCGCAGCAATGGCATAATTTAAAAACTGTACTTGATTAAAAATACTCGCTGCACTTCTATGATTTATTTATTTACATTACTACAAAGAAAATTTCTTATTTTTTAACTGAAAAAATCTCAATTAATAACTAATACATTTTATTTACATTGCCCTCGTTTTAATTTTTGTTTTTTTTATAATAATATTTTTAAAGCATGCACACAAGTTTTTGCAGCGCTCTCTTTGCTGAGTCATCGTGATTTCTCCCCTTATCTTGCCCGCAGACAATGCTTTCTTTTAATGCAAAAACTGAACGGTTTTTGCGGATTTAAATTTGTCTGAAAAATATTATTGTTAGCTGATCTGCGAAAATATTCGTTCTGACTGAAGATCGACGAATGATTCCTTATTGTTTTAAGTGTAAACTCGGGTGATTATTGCATAGGTTTTTTCAGTGTTTATCGTTTATGATGGGATCAAAGAATTTCACAAAATGATGATTTTAAACTCAAAAAATCTTCTCTGTCAAACTGATAAATTTAAAAGTATTCGGAAATGTTCCTACTACAAGTTCTCATACCAATGGCCGGAAAAACCTGATTCCTTACGGCTCCTAATTTTTTTGCACATCACACATCAACTGTGAATAAAAAGCAGTCAGTACCGCACAGCCCCCCAAAAAAATCTTATAAATTTCTGGGAATTTCGGAGCAGCTGGAACGCGGATCGGAACGAGAGGAATAAATATGTTAGAAAGGTACGGAAACCAGTATGAACTTAAGGTTGCACGAGTCTGATTACACAGTGCAAAAAAAAATGTTCATTTCAGTGACGAAATTTGTTATTCTGATAGAGATGACTAATTACCGATGAAGTATTGCATAGTTTTACCAGAAAACCCTGCAAGATAATATACATATACCGGAAAAAATATAATGTTCTGTATTATTTCAGTAAGGAATTTATTTTTTGGGGAATATTTTTTATGGTTTTAATGTGCAGAAGCACCGAAAAGACTGGAATATGAAGCGTTTTTCACATATTCTGGGGCGTAAATCAGATGAAGCATATCCAATTTCTATGACGATATCAGTATTAAAACTTGATATCAATGACATTTAGGCCATGAATCCGGACTTTGACTTCCAATTGTAATCTAAATTCCATTTCATGGAGCAGATGTGGACGCTGGAAATTGGTTAACGAAGAGAGCCATGTGTTACTCCAGCCTTGATTTTCATGCTTAGCCATTCGACTGCTTCGGTTAACAAAGATAGCCACGAGATATTCAGCCTTGATTGCTTCTGAATTAAGTATAAGAAAGCTCAGTAGTAAGATACGGTGATTGTTTTTGTAAAAAAATTCAGTAAATCGTAAGGATTAGAGCAGTCCCTCACTTATCGCGGGTGTTATGTTCTAGACGATAGGTGAAATAAGTGATGGACAGTTTATAGACTGATAGAAGTTAGTGACCGAGTTCGTGTTTATAGACTACGGACAAATAAAACACGATATTGCGAGGGATTAGTATTCGTAATTACTTTTTTACTGCCTTTTTCTCTGCATTAAACCCCTGGTTGAAACATCAACGCAGATTCAACTCTGAATTTATCGCGTGCTATTGAAATTTTCCGAATGTAAACTTTCATTGATTGATGGCACTTTAGTTTCCTTCTCTCACTTGTTTCCTGCTTCGCAATCTGAGTTAACCACTTTGAAAATTTGCTATGGTTTCAATATTATTCGTTTTCACGTGAGTCTTGACACTTTCTAATTAATACATTTACGCTTCACTCAGCCCGAATACTGTAAACTTCAAACATTATGGCTCATAGCTTGTAAAATAACATAAATAACAGACCACGTTCTACTTACTAGAAGCATGGTTTCTTATAAGTTAAACTTTGACGCCATCTGCAACGCTTGCAAGGGTGCGACTGAATCGCTGAAAAGTCGTCTTCTCTCTCCTCCGTCGCGGTTCGTACATGGAAAAAAAACCGACTTCGGTATACTTTCTTCGCACAAAAACTCGGACGCAATAATCGGAGGGAAAAATGACTAATATGCGACCTGTACGGTAATCAATGGACGTTTTATAAGCATGCTATAGTGGCTTCAGATTCGTTATTTTCTTCATCGACGCGTTATGAGAATTTTTTTGTTTTTCGACCTTTGGATAATTGTACATTTTTTTGTGATTTCTACGTGAATAAAATATTCATGTTGCGAGTGAAATATATACGTTTTCTTCAGTATGACTCAAGGCAGTAATATTATTCGTAGATGGATAAAACATTTAATTAAGTTGTAAATTAGAGCATACACTCAAGTACATACATGTATGTTAAGTAGAGTAGAAGTTTAATTGTCTTTATGCACTAGTATTAATATTACTCATAAGAAATGTTTCAATGGTGTCATATTTTAGATATATAGGTTAAAATTTATACTGCTAAAACCGTTTTACTTCTTATTAATGGACTCAGGACTTATTTCAAACAATGCATAATTGACAAGAAATATAGAACTTTGAAGGAGAAAATATGTCAAAAATAAAAAATAATCAACGGTCTTACATTTTGAATTGTAGGAATATTAATTATTTTTTTCCATATTTATTTCAAACAGAATATACATCTCATCATTAATAATTTATTCGGCTTTTTAAATCCATGTCATAGAAATTTCAAATTCTTGGTGAAAGCATTCAAATCACTAGTCACACTGTGCAGAAACCTTGAAACAAGCTGTTCGAAAAATCGTTGCCCACGTGTGCTCTAAATTCAATGGACAGCCTAAAAAAGATAAAAAAACGACTTTCGCTACCGTGGATGGTTTGGGCAGAACCGAAAGAGTTCATTCCAGAGAAAGGAAACTGGTTTGTGGCGCGCTATATTTTGATCCAGTTCTTGCTTGCGGACGCTCAAGTTTTGGGTCTATTCAGCAATAAACATATTACGTAAGACGAGCTCCTACATGTGTAAGTGTCACTAAAATAATATTTTTTCTGAAACGCTATTTCTTGTACATTTAATAAATTATGTCACTGTTTCATAAATTCTATTTCCCAAATAATTATTTCATATATATATATTAATTACAAGTGCTCTAAAAGGATTCCAAGTGCTTTATTTTAAAGTGCTTTATATCATTTTTCTCCTCCGATTATACATCGAGCTAAGAACCTATTGCAAGGTGATTGATAACTTATTGGCTGTTGTCACTTTTTACAACACTTCTCTTTAACTTCACTCCTCTTTAACTTCACTTCTTCTAACGCATTGCAACTTTTTCAGCCATGGTGTGCGAAAAGCGCGAAATACCTCGCCACTTGATAGGACGCTATTCTCCTTTTAATTACAACTTCTGCATATTACTCATCATTCTCTACAGGGGATAGAAATATTTCTAATACGGCAATATGCACAATGCACATTCTTTACAGAAATCGACGGAAATTTAGCACATGAGTTGTTAATTCTTGCAAGATCGCAGCTAACGGGAGACACGTTTCTGTCTTGACCAGTAAACGTGAGGTGTGTGAAGGCCCTTGATGGTCGCCTATTTTGCCATGGAAATGCCATCCTAATACAGTGATGTGCTGGTACAAAATACCGTGCGATACGTGTTCCGTTAATAACCAATTATCTTGTTCGGTTGATAAAAGTTCAGTTTCAAGAGCTAACAGCCAAACGCCACAATTCAGCTCCTTCAAATTGAGTGTAAATTAAGTCATTTTTATTTAGACCTTGATCATACTGGGTCTTAAAATGTGATATTTAGAATGTTCTGGCGTTTACTCCACAATATTGGTAAATTTGATCCACAGTATTGATCCCGATTTTTTCTTGTGTTGACTCATCAGGTATTTACGAGGTTGCATTCTGCGCGCAATGATAAAACGAACTTCTTATATCACTTTCTATAGTAAGTGCTCTATTATTCGCTGCTTGTGGAATAAAGCACTTCTATTCATGTAGCAACTGCTCCATTCTTTCGTCTCGTTCTAATTTCGCCTCTTTTACGGATCGCCGAGCTGTAAATAATATCATAAAATATTTACATTGTAGTTGATTTTAATAGCAACTCTCTCTGTTTCCACATTTAACCTAAAGTTATGCAATAAATGCCCTAACATTTCCGTCTATAATTTCCTAAATTTCCATCGCATTATTCAGACCAAAAAGTTGACTCTAAAGCACACGCTCTGCGTCTCGATGCAACGGGCGGCATCTCGATTTCGCTTTCTATCATAGAAAGAAAGTTAGGCATCGGCAAGTCTGGAACCTTAGTTGCGGAAAAAAATGTCCAGTGATGGAATTTACGTTCACTTTGACTCGCTGGTCAATCAGTTTACCGTTGCTTTTAACATAGTTTGTTTATGTAATGCATCCCTAACACAAAATGTAGAATTTTTCAGTTAAATGTTTGAGCATAACTGGTGTTTTCGTTTTTTCATTCATCTGTGTTGTAAATATATAACCATGCAAAAACTTTGATGCTCTTAATATTGAAAAGTTTCGAATTCAATAATTGGCCTGGCTTTTAAAGTTGTGTAAATAATTGTGTTCTAGAGCGGAAAGTAGCAGGTGTGATAATTTTACGGAATAACATTTTTTAAATATAATATAAGAAGTAAAAAAATGGTTCCAATCATTAATAATGGGTTAATTTTCGCCTGGTGCATTGGTGCTTGTGGTGAACAGTGGCTTCGATTATGTTTTGCACTGTCACATATTTTTATATATGTTGTCACTGCGGCAATATAGAATGTTTTTAATACAATTAGAATAAGGGAAGTTTTTCCCAATGATTCTGTCTTCTGTGGCCTCTGGTTATAAAAATGGATAAACAAATTTTAATAGCTCCATAAGCAGAGCTGGGCAGCGCTACTTTGAAATGTAGCGCCGCTACCNTCTATGTACTTGTATTTGTGTAACATGAGATTATACAACAGTAGTAGTTAATTTAAATCAAACTTTTAGGATTCAGATTCATTTCACCGGAACCTCTTATTAGAGTAAGTACTACTTGTTGCTACTGTAATCGTATAGTAATTACTATGGTAAGTAGATGAACTGATTTATAATGATTATATTCTTTTTCTATGTACTTGTATTTGTGTAACATGAGATTATGTTGTTCATACAGGGTTCTATACAGTGTTCAGAAAAAGTGTCTTTATTTGTCCCGATATTAACGTGAGACGCTTCAAGTTCACATGTGTTGTTCATTTTATTATTAAATCTCTATATTTTATTTCTTCTTTCAATATAATGACTGTTCGATAAGCCAATTTATGATCCAGAGCATAATTGAATGAAAATTGAGATTAACGAATTGTTTTAGTAAGCCTCACTAAGATGGATGTAAAACAGAAAATTTATTTCGGAGGTGTACTGCAATAAAATGGAAATTCACATATTCAAAAAGATTTATTCAAAACTATGAAATTAAGAGTTGTGGTCAACTCGATAATGTCCTCGAAACGAGCAAGAAACCATTATCTGTATTCCATGGTTAAAAAATTCAACAGATTCTCCATGAGTTTCTTTTTAATTGGCTTTCATTCTTTTTTTTTATTGCATTACCAAAAAAAGGTTTGATTTAGTAAATTCGAGCTATAAAATCTTTGAAATCCACAAACGAATAAGACGATTTGAATTTAGTCTTTTTATTCTAATGTTTTCGTGTTTGAGCCTCGTATTAAGGAAAAAAGGGCCAAATCTACGCGGAAAATATTTAGTTCCACTTGAAAAGGCTTCGCGATCAAACTACCTCGAGCTTCAACATTACCGCAATCCAAAGTTAAAATTTGACCTTGATAGTGAATTTCATCGCGCATTAGCTTAAGAATCGAGCAGTATCATGCACATCTCAGAATGTATTGCGAATAAATTTCAGTCGATAAATTTTGAGTACAGCGCGCATGGTCAGCAAGTCATAGGTCAGGTCACGTGATATTTCCATTGATTGGCCCGGTTGGCGCTTGCGCAACGAGTAGTACAGACTGGCACTGTTGAACTGAAATAGGGAGTTTGAATAGTTTAGGGTATTTTTTCCACCTGTTTTTGATTCATCCCTAGGAAATACCCACTCAGGTCTATGATAGTAGTTACTTATGAGATATAATTCATACTTCAGAATTACTTTATACCGCATCATATTTGTATACTTTTATGATATACCAGTTTCATTGATGACAAGAGAATGAGTTTTATGCATGATCTTACTCATAACTTTCTCAATAAGATTAGCATTTTCGCATAGCAAATCAACTGAATTAATTGTTAAATGTCAATTCAACTCCTGTCCGCACATTCTTTCCAGTACAGTAACAAGCATATCATACTCATCTCCACCAGCCCGACATTTTTGCAATAACTTATATAAACACGTGCAGCAATAACCGTCATGTCACTGTCACCAGTCTTGAATACAGAGTAAAACTGTCATATTTGGTTTGAAAATTGTCTTCATAAGTCGTTGCTATATAGATTTTATCGAGTTTAACAGCTTCGCATGCATTGCCAGAGAAATTACATAGCGTGCTAATAATTATGAAGCGCGTAAAATATCACTATTTTCATTTTCAAACATGTACAAAAATAATGGGAACTTTTAATTGTTTTCCTCTTATATTAAAATACAGCTTCAATTGCTGCAAAATGTGTTCAATTCCGTTTTCATGTATGATAGGAAAATTACTTGCATTAGGGTAACTTTGCGGGCACCTTCACTGCAACTCCAATTATTGTTGACCACAAAAGTGTATTTATTAGAGCTGGTTACGCCATCTTGGTGGAACCTTCGTTGTGCTGTGTCTGGGAAAGAAAATTGGTGCAAAGTTTGTGTATGTGCACGTAAAAGACGTGATTTTTAGTTTAAACTCTAGATAATATTAGTGTGGAGAGTAATAATAGGGTTCAGATA